TATACCGCTTACAAAATCATCAAATTTTTGGAATTTTTTCTGCACTAAAGACCAGTTTATCCCTTTCGTTTTGACTAAAAACTAATAAATGCTTAATATAGGGGAAAACGACATTTTACTTACAAATGATGGACTTTTAGAGGGGGGGGGGGATGATTTTCAATAAAAAAGTAAGACTATAGGTTTGCAAAATTACCGAGTATTTTTTAATTTTGTTGTTCCAAAAACTAGTTTTACAGATTCTTTGTGATTAGAAAGAAACCAAAATTTATTTTATTTTCGGACAAAAGGTTGGTTTTTTGAAGAATAACGGTATTTTTAAAGGGATCGATTTCGACAAAAAAGTAGGGCTTAGTTCAGTTAAGTTTTTATATTCTAAAATTCCTCTACATGGAGTATCTTATTATTCTACATTAAAAATAATAACATAGAAGGAGAACAAAATAAAAATAATTAATGACCATAAATAACGATTACATAAGATGTTGTTTGTAGGAGAATTTCTTTAGGAGGAGCTCTCTCAGTATGTAAACTTATTGAGGGGAGAGCATCCCCTTTTCTTAGGTGGTTTTTAAATGTCATTAATCATTTGAATGTATGAAAAAACAATAAATTTTGCTTCAGAATCAAATTTGATAGTTCTTGCTGAATAAAAAGGTTTTAAGGTTTTGAGGAAAACTGACAACAGACAATGATCTTTAATATCTACTGGGATATTATAGGAAAGACCTGATACCATATTGCAAAGTATTTTTTCGTATTAAGAAAATTTCATTTTTTGTGGCTTTCAAAGAAGTTGTGAAAGCAGCTCGGTGAGTTCTTATTGACAGAATAATAAACCAAGCAAAGCAATTTTAACTGGAAGAGACCTTCAAACTTCAAAATCTTAAAATTTGAAAAGATAGGAGTGGAGGGTGCAGTGAAATGTTCGAAGGCAATGACTTTTACCACTCTCTTTTGTAGCAGTTTTGCAGCTTTGAGAAACTGCCAAGTTTTTTAAAATTTTTCTTCCTCAAATAACTTTTTTAATACCTTTTCTGCGATTAGAAGGAACCAAAATTTATGTAAGTTTTAAGAAAAACATCATTTTGCAGAAGAATAACGCGTTATCAAAGAGGACGATATTCTTCAGAAAAGTAAAGCTATAGGCTCAGAAGAATCTACGTATTTTTTGAATTTTTCTTCCACCAATATCTTATTTGATCGTGTCTCTGTAATAAGAAATAACCAAAATTTAATTTAGTTTCGGAAAAATGATAATTGGTTCTTTACTCAGCTGTTCTTTATTAAGCCTGGTTTTCATATATCGTAATTCGTCGGCGATGATCCCCGATGGTCGGGGATGATTCCCGATACGAAAAACATTATTTGATCGCCAAAATTACAACGTTTGTTTGGGTATATGGCTGCTGATAAAGGCCAGTTAGAGATCCAAGGTTGACTTTGATGCTAATTGCACTTTTGCGAGAGGAAAAATTGGCTACTTCAAGGCAAGATATACAGGAAGAAAAGATTCTGGGTTAGAAAAATGTTTTCTGCTTGCAAAGAGTTCGGCAAGTTTGCAACCACGTAGCTGTAGATGTCGGCTAAAGTGGGCAAACTCGAGCAAAAACAGGAAAACAGATATAAAACAGACATATATATTAAGACTAAATCAAGCTAACGGAATTATAATTATGCCAACTTTTCAAAATAACATTTGGAAAAACTGTAGCCAGAGGGGGCAAGTTGTTGTCAAAATTTTCATTTTGGGTGCATAGCCCCCAGCCCCCGTGCCCCCCTGCAGCTACGTGGCTGCCAGTTTGAAACTCTTGTGTAACAAATGAGACTGTTGGACAGCGAATATTTCTTCAAATAGGAACATTTATATGAGCTTGAAGAAAGCAAAATGTTTCGACACGTTTTGACTTTTTGTGATTCTAGCATAAAAAACATAACCAAAAAAATTAATGATGTATTGAATGGTATGAGGAAGAGGACGCACATACCCCACACATTTCAGAAAGGGAGATGAGGTGCCTATTTGCATCTCACGTCTAGACAATTATCAGTGCCACATGTCAAGCACCAATGCTATGAATCAACACATTGACGATTTCAGGATATTTGCAAATGGAAATTCATTACAAAAAAACAAAAAACTTTCACCCTGCACCCCTCAGAAAAAAGATTGCTTTAGAAGAAGTCATTATTGCCAAAAAGAATAAAAAAGGGGAGGAAAATTCAAGTCTGAATTTTCTTGGGAAAGTTTTTGATTAGTGGATTATGTAATGATCATGGCATATCTGATGATTCACCCCGATTCACCATAAAAACATAATGCAAACTTAGACTAGGAATTATAGCACCATACTGTTTCCTGTACTATCGAAAGCATGCCAGTTTTTCCGTGAAACAGCTAGCTTCGCTCTAGTGAAAATGACCTCACTTTTGACATAACATTCCTGATCTATTGTTCTCTTTGCTATTGATCGTGGATGACAGGCCCGTGGAAACTGGGGGGCAGCAGGGGCAATGCCCCCAATAATTTGCGAAGATTATGTTTGATCCACACATGACCCTTGATCCCTTGATGTCACAAAAAGACTCGAACAAACACAGTACTCTGCAGCTCTTGCTATAACTGGTTCATGGAGAGGTACAAGTAGGCAAAGGCTCTATGATGAACTAGGATGGGAGGATTTGTATCATAGAAGGTGGTTTAGGCGGCTGTGCCATCTCTTTAACTTGCGTAAAAATCGCCAACCGGCGTATCTGTTTGATGAAATTCCTGCTGCTCGTGAAGTTCTGTATTCTCTCAGAAACGTAAATGAATACGATGCAGCTGTCTGCAGAACTGCTCGCTTTTCAAAGACATGTTTCCAGAATGTGCTCCTTGAATGGAATGCGTTAGCAAAAGATGTTCGTGAGTCAAATACGTTAGGTGAATTTAAACGCAAGCTGCTCGCAAAAATAAGACCAGATAAGAAACCATTTTTTGGAATTTGCGACACACATGTTGTGAGATGCTTAACTATGCTCCGGGTTAGATTCAGTCCCCTAAGCGACCACAAGTTTCGGCACAACTTTGAATCTTTGAGTCCCATCTGCACGTGCAATACAGGCATTGAGGACAATGAGCATTTTCTCCTGAATTGCCCCATGTATGACGGTCTCTTTGATCATGCGATGCGTAACGATCTCTTTGATCAGCTTTCAGAAATCCCAGGACTTGAGCTTGATAATCTTAACACTGAGGCCCCATGTGAACTACTCCTTTTTGGTCATCCACGGTTCAACAATATTGCGAACAAGTTGATTTTGGAGGCAACAATATCATTCATTTTGTCAACTGGAAGGCTAGAGTAAAGTTTGTCACACATTAGATATTCCTGGAATTTTCCTTCAACATTTTTGGGCATTCTGGACTGTCTAATGACAGTTCAGAACTTATCTTTATGACCGATTTCTTCCGACATCTAATGTGAGACAAACTTTTTATTGACTATTGTAATTCTGTTGAATGCACCATCTACAGTCGGGACCAGATGACTATGTCCTTCCCCACTGCATGGTGCAAATAAAGTAAGTTTTGTTTTTTTTTGTTCAAAAATTGTGTTTGAAGATCTTATAAAAACAGCTAATTGAAGATCTGACAGTACTTCGTAAGGCAGGTAAAGAAGAAGCTATATTTCTATCCATGCCAATTCGATAAATTTTCTAAAGCCTTTTTTTTCTAAAGCCTTTCTTCCTTTTGCTATCATGGCCCCGTTTACAAGAAAATATTCAGAATGTTTATGCAATTTTCCTAAGCCTACAAATTTTTTCCCCGACATCTATTAATCTTAAATGTCGTGATCTCATCAAAGCCAGATATACACGTGAGTTGATCTGTTTTTTAAAAGAATAAATCGTTGGAACATTTTGACGATATTTCTCAGCCTTTAGCCTTCATTATCAGAAATGAACCCGTGTCAAAAATCCTTTTTTCATAAGAAACGATTTTTTTTCAGAATTAAAATTAGTTCAAACCCCTACCCAAAGAAACCCCCAACAGAAACTCCCCCTCATAGAATCACCCCAACACAGAAAACGTGTCCTCTTGCAGACACGTGGGTCCCACACAAACTAAACTTACGCACAAAGGAGACTGTGGAATGCTCCCTTGTAGAGGTTGCAAGAACGACGCCCTCTCCCAGCACAAAATTCTTCCTGAAAGAAATGTTCAGAAAACACTTGCATTTCTACAGAATTCAGCGAAAAAATCTCTCTCGCTCCTACGCGCTTTTACTCACACTCCTGACACAGGTGCTAGTGGGCGGGCCGCTAAAAACGCTCAGTAATTGTCAAAGAAGATTAGCGCGATTGATTTTCTTGCTGAATTCTGTAAAAGTGTAAGTATTTTTTTAACATTTTTTAGAAAGAATTTGGTGATGGGAGAGGGCATGAAAGAACACTGATTTTTTTCTTTCGCAGAACATGCAACTTAGGCTTTATAAACCAGCGTCTTTTAAAACTAATTTCATAGTAAATCAAAAACAGTAAGAAAACAGCAAAAATCCCACTATTTTTTTAAAGCAGTCCCTATGTAGCAAACATTTTGAAGTGAAAATTTTTCAAATCCAAATTTAAATTTTATTCTTATAATCCTGTGATTCTTTCGCTAATATTTGCCCTTTTCTAGTAACGAGCATCTAAGGAGCACTTCACGATTGCGGCACTTTTAACCTCAAGTTAGTCGTTCGTGTTTGGGTTAAGATGTTTGATATAAAAAATGAATGAACCGTGATAAGCTCGTTTCTTTATTTTTTTACAAAAAATCCCTAACATTCTTGCTACTGTTTTCTTTTAACCCCCAAATCATGTTGTACAATTGTAAGCTCGTATCACGTACCAGGCATCGTCGTTGCATATGGGTCCCTACATTTGAAAGGGACAAGACAAAGCATTCAGTAGCTAAACCCAGGCCTCTAGGCATAAACTGTGCTGAGAAGAATGTACGCATATATAAGACACGACAATACACTGAAGAAAGTTAATTAACAATAGTCCTTTTATCGACATCATATCTTACATAATGGCAATATCAAATCTTAAAATCTCTTCAATGGCTGACATACAGCTGATTGATGAACATTTGCCAATGGTACACGCGATGCAGCCTTCATTCGATAAAAAGCTGCATATGCCACTCGTTCTCCAGAAATAACATACCGGGATTTCGCTATGACTATATTGGAATTCCGGTAATAAAAGGCTCAGATTGCTTGAATGTGATAAATCATCCACTGAATTACTTACAGAGAAAACTGAAACCCCAGAAACGACGAGGCAAACCCATTAAGTTTTGGCAACGCTTCAAGGAGAGGTCTGGGGCTTAGAAAAAAGGAAACGTGACATGTAGAATGCACCGAGAGCGTTAAAGGATGGAGAGCTGGAATGGTTGCAGCAGCGAGAGAAGTGCCTCTGTAAATGGCGACGCCATGCCAATTGAAACTAGAATCAGGGTGGAGTCTACGTTAACTTCAGCTGTTGCTTGGGCAAATGGTACTTAGTCATTCAGTTAACTTGGGATTTACATGGATTGGAATAACACCAAAACTAAAACTTCAACAAATTCAACTTGCCAATATTTGCGTAGAGTCTTTAAGATACATAATCATGCTAATTTACTATTGAGCAAAGGTCGAATAGATATCTAATTAACAGGTTAATCATAAAAGTTGTATGTAAGCATGTGAGACGGCCGATGTCATACTAACAAATGCAATTAAATGAAAGAAAATTGTTCTAAGTCAGCCCAGATACACGATGATTCAACATTGCACTAGTAATTTGAGCAAGAAAGTGGCATTGTTTTGCCAGCCAGATCACACGCTTGGTCTGGACAGTTTCGTTGTTTACAAAGCACTTAAATCAAGTGTTTCTCCATTTTCAATTTCATTTCACTGTTTTTAATGGTCAGTCTATCAGTTCCAAACCCGCAAGAAACTATCCCAACTACCAGTTGCAACCGCCATGCCATCGTCGGTAACTCCAAGACAACTCACACGATTATCATGACCAGCAAGAACCCCAGCACGGTCTCCTTTCAACGTATCCCACACATTGCAGTTAAAATCATCATAGCCAGCCAACAGCAAGCGCCCACTTTTTGAGAAGGCCACTGAAGTTATTCCACATATAATATTATCGTGCGAATACACACACAATTCCTATAATTAAGAGAAGTTAACAGTTAAAATATTGAATGGAAACCATCAAAATGGAATGAGAATTTGCGATGAAATATAACTTACCAGAAAGATATGAAAAAATTTGTATGATAATTCTAAGGACACTAAGGACACAGAAAGCTAAACTTGGAACATGTACCTGATCAGATCTGATGTCAAATAGACGACAAGTGGCATCATCTGAACCAGTGCCAAAGGCCATTCCATTAGGAAAGTACTGAAAGAAAAACATTTCTAAACTCTCAGAGCCCAAAATTATCCAAACAAAGAAATGAAGCACAATAATTGAAGAACAAAAACATCGGTAATTAATGCGGCAGTTGGGTACTGCTAGTAGAAATTCTTTCAAATGGCTTTGAAAAAAGCAAACATTCTACAACATATTGGCTAAAAGCTTTTTCGTCTGACACTACTCAGAGCATAAAACCTCAAAATAAGGGTCCGACAAAACACGATGAAAAATGATTCTGACGTTTTATGCTCTGAGGAGTGTCAGAAGAAAAAGCTTTTAGCCAATATGTTGTAAAATGTTTGCTTTTTTCAAAGCCATTTTCAAGTTCTGTACTGCCAAAAAAGAAATGCTTTCCTTTGAAAATGCGATGCTAACCCTCAAACATTTCTGTGCCATTTTATTTCATTTCATCATATATTTTGTAACGCAGGTTAAAAAAAGCAGCCTCAAGATGACTGACGAGGATGTGCAACTTAAAATTGGTAAATAAAATAAAGATTTAAAAGGTTTACAACACAAGTTTAAACTTTGTAAATCTGCAGTTGCAGTGAAGATGATACCAGTTTCTGCCTGGCTAATTAATACGTACCGCTACAGCATTGATATCAGACTCATGTCCAGTGAAAGTTTGCTTGCACATACCATCACGAATGTCCCAAACCTTCAAGCAAAACGTTTGCATCAGTAATAACAAAGAATCGAAAAGATAACTCAACGCATTCATCAGAATGTTGTTTTAAGCATGATATAAATGATATAAATGTATAATGTGCCTAAAAAACAATTAGTGTACCTTTGCTGAAGCATCACATGCACCTGAGACAAATGTTCTACCACCATCATTGCACAAGGACAAGCTCATGACATCACCAGTATGACCAAGAAAAGAAGTGAGTTGCTGGCCTGTTTCAATGTCCCACAGGGAGCTGTTCAGTAAAAATAGTAAACACCTCAAAGTCTGACACTAAAGACCTTCTAAATGCAACAAAAATGGAAAGGTGAAGACCCAATACATCTAAATAAGACGTGTTTAGAGGGCATGAAAGAATACGGACAAAAAGGCTTCAAGTAGTTAAAAAAACTTGCCAAGTTGTGTCTCCAGAGCTTGTAAGTATCTGGCTGTCATCCAAGAATCTGCAGCATGACAAGTACCCTTGATGTATAAAATTGGTATATTATGCTTAATACGCTAAATTCATTATAATCAAGAACTAATTACAAAGAAAATTCAAGCATTTCTGTTCAGCAATTACAAGATCAAAGTACCGTTCTACAAAATACTTTGAGTTCGATCTTGTTTGTATTTGGAGTTCAATCTATCTTAACAAAAACCTTTACAGCTTCCGCTTAGGTGAATGAATCGAGGTAAAATATCCGGAAATCTATTCTAGATCCAAATTTTAGGTGAAAGAGTCACAATTTGTACAATGCAAAAGCATTTTAAACAAAAAAAACTAACCTAAAAAGTTAGGACATTTATCAAGTACTATTATCATAAAGCAAGCCCATAATAATTTTTCGTATGTCTATGGGCCAACTTCATTTTCATTTTTTAAATTCTATATTGTACATTTTATATTATCGAGCATTGTAAAAAGAAAAACTGATCAATCATTTAATGAAATTTGCAAACCTGTATGGCCAGGAAGCTCTCTGCTCACTCTGACATTCCCCTCCCTTGTTTTTAAACTGTATATAGAGCATATATTGTCCAGGCCACCTACATGGAAGCATATTGGCTCACATTAGAAGAGCATGGCTTTCTGTCAAGTGAAGGCTATCCAAGAAATTGAAAAATCTAGGTATGCTTGGATAGTAACTTCCCACTGAGAGAATGCTATCCAGGACACATAAAGCAACAATTGTTTGATCAAATTAAGAATGAAACTCAAAGCTGCAACTTAGAAACATAAATAGATATAAATTCATGTATAAATATACAAGTATATTATTTCGGCTTCCTAACAGCTTTCTCTATTTACATAGAATATTTCTGTGTAATTTTTTGAATAATAACAAGTTAACTGGCAAATGCAGCCGCCCCTTTACAAGAAAATATCATAGGATATGACATACCACAAGCAACATAATTCCCTGATGGAGCATAGGCACAGGTCATCACCCAGCTTGATCGTAAAGGAATTGCATGTACCTGAAACGAAAAACAAAACACAAAAGTGATACACTTCTGGCTTAGGTTTAGTCATTTGAAGCCTGGCAGCCACATGCCTGTGTCACAGCATCTACCAGAATTTCCCCCAGATACCCAGGCCTATTCGTTTCACGCAGGCGATCGCCCTCACCATCAGACTTTTGGGTATTTTCTTTGCAGCCACCTGCAGTTTGTTTGCCATACAATAAACAACAAAGTGGGGAATCTTGCGAATTAACTGAGAAAAAGCCAGAAAGTAGGCCATTCTGAACAAAGATGGGATACAGATATCCTCAAAGTATCCTGGATGATGAGAAACTCTTCTCTTTAAAAAGTGATTTCATGACCTTAGCAAAGCAGAATCTCATTTCTTGTTATAGGGGCATTCAAACCATTAAATTTCAGACCTAAATTGAGAATAGCAAAGCTATAACTAGGCTAATGGGGTAAATTAATTGACCAGTATACCTTGTTTGTTGTGTAGGAATCCCAAACAATCAGCTTTCCGTCTTGTGATGCACTGACTAGACTCCTGTTGTCATATGGAACATAATAGTTAATTTCATGTGATGATTTCACTCCAGTTATATAACCATTATAATAAAAGTTTAACCTAAATATTTTTCATTTATAAAACTTTCTAAGTTGCTTATAAGCGATTATTTAGACTAAAATAAATAGACTATTGTAACACAACTCTTGAGTTTTATAGTTCAAAACCAATCAAACGAAACTTCAAACTATTGGCAACACTTTTGATTTGAATGTTGCAGAAATTTATTTTTTAAAAAGTAAAAACCAGGTTCTTTTGGACAGTCTCACAGCTTTTAAACCTTTGTGAAACTCGCAAAGATTTTGTCAAAAAGTTTTGTAACAGGTTCTGTTAAACATAACATGATAGATTCAGAAACACATTTCCAAGTTCAAATTTGGTCGTTGGAGTGCCAAGTTGGACATTATTGCCCTTGCATCTGATGGAAAGTGGCATATCTCAAGCCATTTTGTTATGCTGAATCTTTTGAGGCTCAAGTGTACCTGTTTATCACGGGAACTTTGGTTTTTTCATTCAATGAGAAGACGAAATGGTGTTTCAAGCAATTTGCAGCATTATTTGTTCTCTTACCAATATCGCAATTGGTTGGAACAGATGGGATTGACGATTTATGACACACTTTGTTGATTGAATTCTGATGCAATAAATCACAAGCCGCTGCTGTCAATAGGTCCATTGCAGTTCCAAAATGAGTTTAGAATATTATCCAATAATAGTGACGTAAATGAACAGTTCTAGACACCAAAGCATAAGCATAACAGGACCCTTAGTGATAGCAGTATTATCTTTACTGAAAAGGCTATCCTGTATAAATATGGTAGATTATTATTATTATTATCATTATTATCATTATTATTATTATTATATTATTATTATATATAAGTGGAACTTGAGCCAGACTTCTGACTGTTCTTTCTGTTTTCTGCCAGAAACCCTCCTTCACGTTGTTGCTGGCTGCAAAACATACCTGGAACAAGGCCGATACACCTGGCGTCATAACTCTATCTTAAACTTTCTAGCTACGTCTTTTAAAGCTGTTAATGAATCTACCATCTACGCTGATATACCTGGCTATCTTTCACCATCAATCATAACTGGAGAAAACCTTCGCCCATATCTTCTCTTGAAGACTAACAACAATTACCTATACATCTTAGAGCTTACTGTTGGTTTTGAATCCAATCTTGACACAAATGCAACAAGAAAACACAGCAAGTATGCTCCTCTCCTATCTGACTTACAGCGAAAGTTCAAATGTGTCTCTTTTGTGAATCTTTCTATGAGCTCTCTTGGCATCTTTGGCAATTCCTGCATCTCCTTCTTCAAAATGTGTGACTTTCTCTCCATCAATACAACAAAAACGGTATCTCATCTCTAAACTTTCCAACATTGCCATCCGTACTACGTACTACATATTTTGTTGCAAAAATAAACCATGGACAAATCCGGAATTACATCCGTTTTAATTTTGGTTGTTTTATTTTTCTCAGTTTTTCCTTTTACTATACGATTGTTATAGTTTTTTCTTGTAAAACCAGGCTAGCCAATTTCAAATTACCTTGTAATAGTGAGATTTGTAATTGTAGTTTAAGTTGAATTGAAAATGAAATATTTCCATTATTATAAGTATCCCAGAGTTTATTCTTATAGGATCTTGCAAATTGGTGCAAAGATAAACTTTTTATTGCAAATATTTCACAGGTACTTGAATCATCATTTTTGTGCTTTTGAAAATGTTGATAATGTTTAGAAATAGGCAAAAATCAAGAATATTCTTTCATTTGCTTTTTGAGTATTAAACCTTAATGACTTTCATGGAACTTTCTGTGGCCATATTAATTTTGGTAAGCTAAAATTTTTGCTGCTGTGCCACCATTTCTGCTTCAGCCTGTGCAATACTCTTGCCAATATGGCAGCTCACAGTGACCATGGGCCTAAGCCAATCGATATCCAAATCAGATTTGAGAGGTGAAGAGGCTTGGAAACGATAGTTTGTGGTGAGAAAATGTGTTGGTCATTCTATCGACTATCAGTTAAAAGATAATTTAATGATTGTTCTGCTGTTTTGAGAGAGAAAATTTAGGAAAACTTTAGCATTGCTTTAAAACAATTCTGTAAAATATTTTCAAAGTATTCTTCAAAGATGACCATGAAGTGTCACAATGAACGGATAATGTTGACATCTGCTCAAAGCTTGTTTTGATGATAAAATTATAAAGTTGTTTTAGTTTTGCACTTTCATTTAAAAGTTTCAATGCTGAATTGTGATTGATGTTAGAGACTTGTCTATCTTAAATTATGATTTGCTAATTATCTAAGCAGGACAATAAAAAAAATTCAACCAAAACCTTTTATGTTCATTATGCCTGTAACAGGATCATATTCAGGAAAAATTTCCATCAGATTTTTTAGGTGATCACAGGTCGCTTCAAGTTGCTTGAATCAGCAACAATTAATCCTTTCAAATCCTTTTCAAAGGCACTGATAATCCCCAATATATCAAACAAAATAGAAAATATCAATTTTGATAATCTGAGTTATTCACAGGGAAATCCAGAATTGTACAAATTGAAGAATGTTTGAATAGTTTGGCATATATGCATTACCTATTAGGGTAGGCACAATTAGGTGCTACCCTGATGACTACATTTCTAAATAAAAATGATGTAACATTAGTAGGCAAATGTTTGGTTTTGCCAAAGCCAATCTATGTTTATCTATCCAATGTTTTGCCTTGATGCTCAATGCTGGAAGCTTTCATACAAATATTTGATCTATTGCCATCTTTGATGTGGTGACATTAACACCAACTAGATGTGGTAAAAATCAAATATTGAGAGAAAAACTTACAGATACACTGAATGGTAATTTGGCAACAACCACCATCATCCTACTGGCTGGAAATTGAAACTTCTAGCTGCATCTATTATGCATTAAATGTTGAATAATTCCATTTACCTTGAATCACATGCCCAATGCATTGCATAAATCTTAGCAAGATGACCACGCAATGTTCTTCTTGTTCGCATTTGCACTCTGCCAACAGGTTCAACATTTTGTGTAACCTAAAATGTTAAGTTTTAGATAATCTCTTCTACTCATCAGTTCAGGTCAGTTTAGTTCATATATTTCAAAATTCCACTATATACAAGGACACTGAAACCAAAATAAGTACACTGACTAAAAACATACAGAAAAATGAACTAACAATTAGGTAAGACAATAAACTAAATAATAAAGTTGACTACAGCTATGATAAACTAAATAATACAAACTATGAGAATCGAATGTTGGGGGAATCGAATGAAGAGGAGGACTCTCAGTGGCTAGGATAATGGAGAAAAGAGCATCCCTTGTGCGAAAAGAGATTAGAGAACTTTACAGTTTTTAAGCTGATTATTCTTTATTATTGAATAAGACTTCAAATGTTTTAAAAAATTGATTCTAAAAAAGGAGTCTTCAAGTATAAATATTAACAGATGTTGACCTTTCAAGATCAATACACCAATTCAACTTACAGCCTTATTTCGAAAAATTCTTCAAATTTTGTAAAAAATTGTTGCTTTCACTTTCAAATTAAGAGCAAGGATTTTAATCTACTTGGAAGTTTTTATTATAATATTGCTCAAGATATTGATTTTATGATGACATAAGGATAAAAATTGTTAAGGGATTTGACAGTGATTGGCAACTAAGGGGTTTTAGTTTTGGTTAGAACGATTTTTGCAGTCAAAGGACTTATAAAAGTTTTCAAACTTCATTTTTCCTTAAAATCTAAAATACAAGCACAGACAATATGAAAAATTTAATCTGGCTGAAAAGTATTGTGATAAAACTGAATCTAGGCTTAAAAAGTTGCACAATTAAGAGTTCCAAAACGAGACCGTTATTTGCATTGGTGTATAGGAATGTCATTCAAGCACTTTGCTATTTAAATAATGTATTGATCTAATACAATATTGACTGGTGTTACATCTTTAAGGACCCTTACTGCAAATATCCCAGGTAAAGTCAGGATGGAAATAGGAAATGTCCTGATTCATCCATCTTCAACTCACAGAAAACACCTGGAAGCACTTAAAAAAATCAAATTCATATTTCTTGTTACTTATGTACTGTATGATATTTTTGTCAACCTGTCTGCCATCCTTAAAGGCATTGAGTCATGATAAAAGAAGAGGGTATACCCAAATAGACTGAGTTATGATGCTCATGTTGGAATGCTATTGGTAGGTTGTCACTGGTCACATGGAGTGGCCTCGAACTGATCTAAAAAACACCTTTTTTCAATAGCGATATACATGAGTGGACAATGTATGACAAATGCTACCAATCTGCACTAAAGTGAAGGAGGGGACTAAAATAACTGAAGATGTCTTAGCAGAGATTCTTTGGATGATCTTGTTATTCTCGGCAACATATCGGTTTGATTCTGTGTTTTTTAATTAAAACCATGCTAAAGCTGTTAAAAAGTGTCGTTAGATGATAGAAGATTACATGAAGAAGTTTAATGTGTTCAATTGTCAATTTACTTGAAGAGAATAGAAGATATTTGGTTCTTGGAGAGCCTGAAGATAGCTCTTCCACTTACAAATTTTCTTAAAACACATTTAGATCAAGTTGAATGATTGGTTTAGTAGTTTTCACTAGTATTCAAAAGTACACAGTTGGTACATTCCAGATTTTGATATCTTATTTTTGCCATAGATAACACCCCTGTATTAGAGTTTAGGTTTATCTCTGGTGCTGCAATGAGGCTGTGAAGTAATTGCAGCCCTTCCTGATTACCTTGCATGTGTAGGGACGTAATTCTCTATTGAACAGATCACTCTAAAACAAGGGAATCCTTGCAGAAACATAGTCATTCCACAACCTTATTACCTTAGCACTGTAGCACTTGTAAAGGCCTATCTCTTGTCATAGTGAAGCTTTGGGTAACAATATAAGTAGGGGTACTGCAAATATTTGTTCACCATGCGTCACCAAAATGACAAAAAAAGTTGCGAAAAATGATTGTCCTTGAAGAAGGATTCAGGCCATGTTTAAAGAATAAAATATACAGGGAAAACAGGTGTTTTGGTGTATGATTCTTTTCAATAGATTTGTTGTGGAGGGCAAAAAACATTATACAGCTGGTCTTGCAAACGTTCAGTGTATATTTTACTTATTTTTGTAATATTATTTCATATTATTTTCATAATTTATATATATAAGATTCAATGGTTAAATATATTTATAGATATATATATATATTAATAATATTTCAAACAAAACTGTATACACATCATTAATTAGGCTGGATTTTCATAGAACTCGATAGGTTTCAAAAAACTTTGTACCGAAATATCAACCTTGGTCATTTGACATCTGCACATCAAAACCTCTCAGGCCAAAGTAACTAAGTCAGCCAGTCATTACCATCCTCTTTTGGAGGCTAGGAGAGTGGAGGCTGTAGAGGCCGCCATAGACAAAACACACAAGGCTGTTTTAATCCAATATAAAAAGGAGCTGCAATCTAAAAGCCTATGTCAGGCCTAGTGAAAAGCAAAATGCAGGCGCTTGACAAACTAAGCAACTCCAACATTCTAGGTACTCAATTGAGCATCATCAAATATCAGCAAAAATATAAACCTTTGTTTTTCGCATTTAATTTTTAGAGATCATAAACATGCTAGACGTTCGATCAATCAAGCTCCTAGAACTATCTAGGTGTGTGTGGAGGCACTTGATTGAGCTTGAATGCCTCTCCTTGCAAGGCCTGGCTTACGTCTTACAACCACAACATAACCTGTTATGAAAAAATTTCAGAAAACTGAGTGTCGAGAGTGGTGGGTGTGGTGATATCATAGGCAAAACACAGGCATTCCCCTGTTGATAAAGGGTGTTGCTAGAAGATTGATTACCTATTTTATTCACACTCTGAGCAGACCCTGACAATAGTTGTACCCCTTGGTACAACAAAGCTTTAAAAATGGCATGGAAATGCTCTAAGGGGCACAATCAGTCATGCACCTGCTAAAATCTTAATGGAGAGCCTTCGGCACATAATCAGGTGAGGGTTCTTTTACACTAAAGTTCAAAAATGATGTCTAGGTATAGGCAGAGCTGTACAGGCTTTTTGGTGTTTAAAACAAGTTGGATTCTAAGTTACTACTCCGTTTTTCATGCTTAATGCCATCATCAGGCAACTGTATGGGGAGAAAATATAATTTTGTGTGAAAACTGGTGGCCATCCCTTGGATGCAGACTTATTATTCCTTTTTTTGGTGGCTGATTTAAAGCCAAGTTAAGCCTCTCATTTTCAAATGCGTTCAAAATCTAAATCATTGAAATTTTTAGAGATTAAAAGTGTAACAAAGTCTGAAATAAAAGCCACTTTTGCTGAGGAAACCCAACATTTTGCAAAAAAATCTATAAAGTTGCAATATTTAAAATGAAAATTTCAAACTATTTTTGACTGTGTTCTGAAGAAATTTAAAATGTTTGAGTTCATCTGAAAAATACCAATCTTTGCAAATTATTTTCATTTCATTATATGTTAGATTCATTTTTAGGAAAATGATTTCATTCTAGGGAGATATTTGCAGAAAAACAATAAAGGTACTTCATATTTCAAGAGCTGGCCATCTTACTTTTTAAAAAGACAAAATTTGAGGCTTGGTCAAATAAGTAACAAAAATTGAGGAGCTTGATTAGCCAGTATCTAATTGTTTGTTCATTCTAGGGGCCATCTGAAATCTGACAAAACACAAAAAACAATACACATTTGATTTCTGAAAACAAAGAAACATGGAATCAGGCAAAGAATTTTCACCTGTAGAAAGTTGGTATCAGCTGCAGCTTTCCTTGCATCCTAGAAAGAAATAAAAAAAATTTATAACAAAGCAGTTTCAAAACATAAATAGTTATGTTCAGTTAGGTCTAATGACCATCCACACACTTATTAAGCTGAGGATCAAATTACATAAATATTATGTGATTTTTTTAGACCTCAAATACTGGTCCATATCAGTTATCTTGAGCTACCTTAGTTTTTCTTAAAAGTGTGCATGACAGCTGTATGTAACTGCAAAATAACTAGAAAGTGCTCCACCACATAAGATGCAAGCGAAAACCCAAATGTGTCCATAAAATTTTCAATGCGCGGCTTCATATGCAACTTAGACTGTGATTTAACCTTTAAAAAACCCAGCGATGTAACTAAGCAATACTCGAACTGCAGATTATATTAAGTTTTAAATAAGACTTGCTCTCTTTCCAGCTAGCCAGGGTAAGGTTAAAGCAGTCAACATTACGGTTACCAAGAATCCCAACATTAAGGTTTATTAAGAAGTTCATAGTTGTCAAACGATGCCATTACGCAATAAATGGGCCTAAGGATCTTGTCATCAGCTGCTTCCCGTTCTTACTTAGGCCGATGAACTAGCCAGGTCATCTCAACATCATCTTGTTTAACTTACAACAGTTCTTGACAACTGCTACTGTCAACAGCGCTATACCATACGAAAAAATTTACATTCGAACATAACATCAGAGCAACCAGAATAAGGTATCTGAATGTACTACGAAATATCTCCATCGAAGAAAGTCGACGAAAACAAATGGAAACGACAATTCCTACAAATCGTAAAACAATGCTAACTAACAAAAATCTACAATTCAATAAAAACCCCTGAAAGAAGTATCTTACCCTGATTTGGCCTTTCAGTGCTTCAGCTTCTTGCCTCAACTGTTCTAGTTCACTCATTGTTAGTACAGCAGTTTCAGCTGCCTTCCTTCTTCTACAAAACTGAACTTAGAATTGGCTGACGTCCTTCGTCAAGCAGATTACAACAAAACAAATCTCTCAGCAATGAAATTGATCAAGCGGTGTCTGTTACCCAAACTTTTCAGTTTCATGAGATGTTTGGAACAAGATCCTTCACCTTCTTGGCGTTACTGTGACTTTTCGATAAACTTCCACCTTCCGCAATTTCAATATGGCCGACTTCACCAGGGAGTGGTTTTGTGCACACAAAACCTGAATATGTTAAGTGCAGGCTACATGTAGCAACAAGAATAAATCCACCAATCAGCTTTGAAGGTTTGTTCCTGCAACTATTTCGTAGCTGGCCCTATCCTTACAATCCCGGATGTTTAATATCTCCTCCGTAAAAACAGAAATACCGTTTTTGTTAAGAGCTAAGGACAGCCACATGTGTGACCCAAATCATTTATCCTGTCGCAAACCCAATCCTTTTAGTGCAAAAACCAGGGACGGATTTACCGGGGGTGTAGCGGTGCGACACCCCCGGTAAAATATTTGTGTTATTCGGTAAATTTTGCTTCTATTCGGTAAAAAGCTATTTTTTGGTGGTCAGTGCCACAGTGGTAACAAAATGACATTATGATTAACTTTTAAGGCCTGTTTCCTTCTTCATATTCCGTCAAATCATTGACGCGAGAATTCCAATCCATAGCTTTTTCATGCTTTCACCATTTGTACGAAAGGAGGAGCTTCCTGGGTAGATGTAATTTCTTTTAAACTCATTAGTTTACACAGTTTGTGAATTTCCTACAGAGATTGACGTTGCTTTCTGATTTATTCATTTTCGTTTTCCTAAATAGTTTTTTCAGGAAATTTTAATCATCTTTCGACCTCTGCTTATAATCAGTTGTTTAATTTTTAAGTTTTGATACCATTTTGGAAGATTTTTAATTGGTACATGCTTAACAACAAAGAAGTAATTTTCGCAAGAAATTTACCATAACTTCTATTGGCAACAGATCTGCCATTTAGGTAGTTGAAATCGGGTAAATTTAAATCTTCAATATATGATCATGACTCATTTTGAATAATTATTATTTGACAACACTTCATACACCTTTTTGGCTACGCATGCGCGAAAAAACTCACACTGAACTGAAAAAACGGGGGTGACTCTTCTGGCCATTGCTATTCTGTGCACAGATTTGACAAAAAGAAGGGCCCGTCTGACTAGTTTTAAGTGTAGTGGTGCTCACTGAATCGAATTGATTTGTCTTGTTCCAAGTATGATTGGCCAGCAATTTTGCTGCCCTTAAATTTTTGCGGCCCTGGTACCCAGGGTAGATTGACCAAAAAACAATGACTTAGTAAACTCGGTAAAAACATGTTTTCTAACAGCTAACCGGCTGAAATTTCTTGTGACTTTGAGTCACAAGGAGAGGTATTGGCCGGAAATGGAGAATCAGACTTTTCTTGACATGGCTGGGTCATTCTCGATCCCTTCAAGTTCTAAACCTACAATTATTATTGTCGGACGGTACCAAGCTGCTAGCCCCAGTTTCACGGTGTAACAGCTGCGACTCAAAAGTTTGAAACTCGGAACAGCCACTTAGATCCATCCTGTTCTATTCACCAAATGACGTGTACAGCTCTACCTATACGGCATCAAGCACTTTATGACAGAACAGTAAACAGTAATTTTCATTAATTATTTTTGCATATATATTTAGATAGATAATTGATGACTTCAATAATATAACGAGATCGTAAGAGAAAGTCGCAGGCGAAATTCTAATAATAGCGCAAAACAAAGCTTTTGTTCAAACATCCCCCATGGTTCAACGCAAACAGACCATGATGAGACACGAAGAAACGCTTTAAATTTCTGCTTTTTGCGAGCTTTTTTTACTTTTACCTGTTGACGTATCAAAACTTTAAGTAAAGATGTATATTTCATGGTGTCTCAACAGGTATACGTGCTAATCATTAGAAACAATAACGTTGGAAATAACCCAAGCATAAATTGAAAGGTTTCAAATTCTTTACGAAAGCAAGACACTAGACATTATAACTGTTTATTGCATCAACTATAATTTAAAATGATTAAACCAATCCTACATGACAGTTTTCTCAATCCATTCACAGATTATTCCAACCCCTACAGAATCTTCTGTGCCGATGCTACATTCAATGAAATTTATTTTTCCCTGCAATTGCCCAAACTCGAATACCTTCCCCTTTTTTCCAACATCCACGTCTCTTTTCGAATGCATATCATCGGTTCCTTTCAGAGCAGCAGCTCTCGTAAATCGCATTTCATGGCTGCATAATAAAAAGGAGCCAACATCAATTTATTGTTAAGGACATATACGTTTTAGCTATCTTATGTTATCTGTTGCCAAGTAATGTAAAAAACCAGTGGCGTAGCGTCTATGTATGCTACGCTTGCGACAAAAGCGTAAAAAATTCTAGACAAATTCTAAAATTCTTGCGACATTTTTACCGGTAATAAATGCGTTGTAGTTTTAAAGAAGTCAATGTAAAATATATTCCGCAATAAATGGCCTCTCTTTCTGGTCATGGGCGGCATGTGGTGAACTCCAGCGTAAACATGCCCATTGGTTATTTTTCCAAGTAAACAGATGCAGATCCCTTCAAAATTGTGACATTTGAAAAATCTGAAATACTGAAACCTCTCCACATCACTCTTTTTGCCTGTCTACTTTCGTCATCGACGGTAAAAAGAAACATGCGATGCTCCAGTGCAGCTCAAGTGCAGCTCAAGAGCAGCTTTTGAGAGAAGTTAGAATTTTCCGGACAGGAGCTTGCAATTGGCCTGAGCGCAGAGCGCAAGCACACCCAGATATTTGATAATCCTCAACATTTTTCTGCCTATAAGCTGCTTTTTGCGAATATTCTTTGCTGGATACATTGATTCATATCTTTTAATTTTGATTTTTGAATTATGAAAGAGAGGAAAATTTTGGACGTAGTCTATTTGTCATGTTCCGCATTCCGTAATTCAAGTCGCATAGCTTGCCAGTGTAGTCAGAATTTACGGACCAAGGCATGCGGTAAGCCTTGCCAAATACTTGATGATTTGCAGGGACCAACTTTCTGAAAAAATTACACATGAAAGCATCTTCAATTCTAACAACTCTCACAGCTCAGTATTCTCATCCTTGTCAATTATGAGGGTAGAAAATTAGCAGAAACTCGTGCTCCTGTCCGCTTAAAATCATACCAAAGATCGCCATGCTCTTGGTTTTTAGCAAGTTTAGCCCCCCAACAGTATTTTAGGCCCCTCAATCTATAATATGCTCCAAGGTCCTTGGGTTACCGCATGCCTAAGTTTTGCGCTCACGTTACGCCATTGAAAAGAATATACATTACATTACTCTCTAAACGTCATCCCTTCTCAAGGAACTTTGCGTGACTTGTTTTGTGTGGAAAGTTTTTGAATAATCTGAATACGTCAAATTCGAAAGTAAAATAGACTCACATTTCCTTTTCCAGCTGGCTTTTTATCACATTTGCAGACTTTGCGGTAGGTATATCTAAATTGAGACAAAAAATCATACACTTACATTTAAAAAGCATTGGGACAACTTCGAAATTTTAAAGACTTCTTACAAATCTTTTGTCATTAAACAAGTATGACAGCTATTTCCATGAAATTTCCGCAAGACATTGTTGATGTTTTGATGCCTTCTATTTATGCCAAACAATTCACAAAACATTAACCACACAATTTACATAGGCCTTGAGACGTAAGCTTGGGCTTCATAAAAATCAATAACTTAGGCTCTGTTTAAATGGAGAATATAGCCTCGGCTACCCGATGCTATTTTTTGGCGAGGCTTGCTGTTTATATGGAGAAAATTGCCTCGACCACCTGAGGTTATTTTCTAAGCTGAGATATCGGCATCCTATAGAAAAGAATGTGAATGTCAGTTTACATTTATATGAGTGTCGCAAATAGTATCACCCAGGTGAGGTTATTTTTGACTGCTTATATTTTACCTGAGCGAGCCGATATATCGGCTTGGTGAGGCTATTTTTTCTCATATAAACGCAAATAAAAATAGCCTCACTTCACTGATACAAAATTGCAGAGACTGCGCAAGCGCAAATCATTATTCCTGTTAATGATATAGCGTTAATGATATTGGACCACCACCACCAGGTATCACTTCTACCAGGTCGAGACCAGACAGAACTTGATTTTCGAGCAAGCCTTTTCAATGCTCGTTGCCTCATCTTTTCTTTCCAGAAATCTTTCTCCCTCGCAAAGTCAAATTCTGACATTCTAATTAAGTTTCTCAGGTAGAGTTGAGATAACAGAACTAAACTATTCATCTTGTTTAAGACCATAAGTAAAGACGAACAATAAATTAATAGGATTCACAATCGCCTCCTCTCATTTTGAGGAGCCATTTGGCAAGCCGAGGTTATCTTTCTCTCAGATAAACAGAGCCTGAAAATAGCCTCACCATAAACATAGCATCGGGTAGCCGAGGCTCATCAACCATCGCCGATGAGTACAGTGGCTACGCAGTTTTAAAAGTTGCTAGAGTAAATTCAATAATTTGATAAAATGGTAACGTTTTCCTTGATTCAGTTAACTTTACTCGAATGTATTACAAAACGAAGACAATACAAAACGAAGACATTACAAAACGAAGAAATTACAACCATTTTCCTTAATTCCTTGGAAACATAAGATTCAACTCTTGATGAACCAATTATTCTCCTGTTTATTATTTGGCAGAGAGATCATATGGTCATCAAATTGCACGAGGGCCTTCATCAACGAATTTAAGCTCAAAATATCTTCAACACTGATCGATAACTTGATTTGATTAATAGCTATAATCTACTTTTTACGGGTTTTAAAAATTGTTTTTATCAGAGGGCCCGTTGAAAATCAGAGTAAGCTGAACAGCAACCCACAATCAAATATGAAATTTAAGGTAAATGACTATTCTATCTTTCAATAAGAAGAAATTTTTTATTTCGAGCTTAAATCAAATTAGATCACCGTAAATTCTGCAGTGATTCTTAGCGACTGGATTAAATATTTGCCACATAGGCTTGAGATTGTCAAAATATTAATGCCATGTCAAAAAGCATCTAAAAGGACAAATTATACCTTGTTTGTTGCAGACAACAAGAACTGAAGGCTTAGAAGACATCAATATTTTGTTGGCAAATACATCATACAAGTACCTGGTTAAACAAAATAGATTTTAAATTAAAACACCTAATGATGATTTTGAAATTTCAAAAACGATTTTAACTCTTTGAAGTGAAAGAAATAGCTATACAACACAGAGCTGCAATCCAATCAATAAAAAATGAAAAGTTCAGTTGATGCTGCTTCAACTTTAAAAAATTTTCTGCTACATTCCGAATCAAACAACTTAATCCTTTTCGGCTTTTCAGCGCAGTAATAAAGATTCCAAACGATAAACGAAATATATTTTTCAGCCAACAAATTTCAAAAATTATAAACACAAAGCATGTTGAAATGCAATCAGTCCAAAGTAGGCTAAAATGTCCCACTTCGTCCTAAACTTCCCCCATCCTTAAGGCAAAGTAAAAATTCCTTAATTTCACCCTCGTCATCGCATCCATTCCCTCCAACATAAAATTAGAGCTCTTGGGCAAGTATCGCGGAAGCGGGGGCTGATGGAGCTTCACTCCACCTCCAAATATTTCCAAAATGTTCTTAAAACCATACAAAAAATTGCCTTGCTCTTGGTTCTTGAGCATCTTCCCCTCCCCCTCCCCCCCTTTAAACTTTTCAGCTCCCACATCGGTGATGTAATCTGCGGACCTTGGTCTTGAACACAAAATTTTGTTAATCACTGACCAATCTCACTCTCTCCGATCTCATTGCATTTTGAATACTTTCGCCATAGACAGGGAGACAGGTCAACGAGAGAAAAATCAATATTAAGAATTATACAAAGAAAGTTAAAGAGGTTATAGAAGAGGATAGGGATTTCACATGTTGGAGTATTTTGAAGGAAACTTTTTTGTTGTAGGAGAGTGGAAATAGAAATTTCAAGTGAGAAAACTGCTCAATGATAGCGATCGACCCCTGTAAGATCTAAATTCGACACAAATGGTTGCTCTTAGCAAATTAAAGTTTTATAAGCTCAAGCTGTAGCAGAAAACAAATGTTTACCGCAAACGGTGGTATCGAGGACATGGAGCATTTTTTTCCAATCTGCCCTTCCCATGCAGTAAAACGCAGACATCTTCTTGTTGGGGTTTCTGCTTTACTGCGATCATTCGGATTTACCAGTTTTCCAGATAACGCTCTAATGCAGATTTTATCGCCCAGTCATAAAAACTTTCCCAACGAGCTGAACGAAAGTTTACTGTTGCTTACCAAAAATTCATCTATAAATCTGGTTGATTTGATGACAAAATCACAAACTTAATCACAATGTAATTTATTAAGGCCACTTTACCGTGACCAATTCAACAAAATTTTTTTTTGTTGCAGGTTATAGCGACAAATTTAAATTATGAAAACAAATGCACCAATCTGCATAATAAAGCAAGTTAGGAGAAAGAAGATTTGGCTGACAAGTGCCTTGTGTTTCTTCATTGAATGCAAAAACAAAATACTCACTCGGCAATGTCTCTTATTTGTTTCGGGAAAGCAGCACTATCAACCATGAAAATGATCCCCCTAAAATTAAAGCATAACGTTACAATCTTTAGCAAAGTATAAAGTAGTTGTGAAAGTCTCTATAATGCAGCAGACTCCTTCATAAAATTGGACAATGAGTGTCAACAAAAGAACTGTAGCCCGATAGAAAAATTCTGTCTGTTTGTATTTGAAATGCACGTGCTACTTAACTGGCACTCCATCATCAGCGAAACAGCGGTCGTAATCATCGTCCTTCACCATCACCATTGTGCTGTATCAACAAAATTTGGACTTGCGACGAAGCATTAAAAAGGAACGATTGTTGCAAATTTTGGTTATCAAGTTGCATAGTGGTGGAACTGCGTATTCTAGCTACATAGTTAAAACAGCATTCGGTCTGTGAGCTGGTAGACAGCAGCAACTGCAGAGCAAACAGTGTAGCATTTGCCTATGTAAGCTAGCATTCCAATGTTAGACTTGCCGCTTTGGACATTTCACAATGTTGGACATGTTAGATATGTTGAAAGCGATTGGTGTTGATTCAAAGTTTGCAAGCATTACCAAGTAAATGCCTGGAAATATACACTTGGATGATAAAATCACTAATAACTAAACAAAATTATTAAAGGTAGGGATTAGAGTTTGTGAAAAATTTATTTTTTCAATAACACCTTGCAACATTTTTCTGGAATTTTCAATACGTTGGGTCACCCGTATAATTTTCAAATTTAAAAAAGGGGTTCCAAGGCCAACTGTACTGTGTGTGACGCACAAGTTAGTTAACCCTAAAGCCAATGGCGAAAGAAGTATTAGTGGTGACGCTGTTGCTTAATACCACAGATAGGGTTAGAAACAAGATTATTCTTCCTGGCAACAAAACTACAAAGTGAACATTTCCTGCCTTGACAAAATTTCCTGGAACTGATATTTTAGGTTGCTTATTTTTAGTGTTATCAACAATTTATTGGTTTGGCTCATATCAAAATCTTGATTCGAACAGCAATCCTTTTGTTTATAGAGCAATCCTTTTGTATAAGGTGATCAATTAGAACTTTATTGGACACAGCACTCATCGTCTTCCAATCAGTGTATGCCTACCCGCAGCAGCACAGCCAATTTTCCTGGCTTTCTCGTTTTTCTACATGCTTCTGTCTACACTTTTTGCTCAGAGCTTCACCTTGCAAAACCTCTTGCTGATGAGAATCTCTTATCAAGTGACGGGCTTATTGATCTTATATTTTGGAAGGACCAGGACATAATTTGATCATCTCTTTCTGTTTTGTATGTAAGAAAAAAGATGCCAGCAGGAAGAGCACTGCCACAACTACTTGAAATTTCATTCCCTGTTAAATATTCTTTTCAGACAAGAATAGGCTATTCATTGATCTAGAACATTTATACATCTACCAAGTAATGATTCTTCGTCAACTTTTGTGAAAATTTATCTTGGTAGTAGTAAGACTTTCATTACTTGACCTACCTAACTCTTATTTCAGAAACTTTCGGATCATCCACATCAAGTTTAAGGACACATCAGACTCGTAAAATTGTTTTCAAGCGCTTCTTCTTACTCGATTTGTATTAGAAATATAACATGGCGTCTGTAAACGATAGTTGCATTCTCTTTATGAAAACTGCTTGTCTGTGTATAATTTTTGCCTTTTTCATATTCCAATGGATATCCTCTTGCTCTAGGAAAAACTAGCTCTGGAAAAGTCCTGCCCATTGCCACACTCTATGTGACCGCACTTTCCTTGTTCTTTGTGGTCTCCCTTTTCTTGTTCTTTGTGGTCGCACTTTTCTTGTTCGTTGTGGTCTCCCTTTTCTTCTTCTTTGTGGTCGCACTTTTCTTGTTCGTTGTGGTCTCCCTTTTCTTCTTCTTTGTGGTCGCACTTTTCTTGTTCTTTGTGGTCTCCCTTTTCTTTTTCTTTGTGGTCGCACTTTTCTTGTTCGTTGTGGTCTCCCTTTTCTTCTTCTTTGTGGTCGCACTTTTCTTGTTCGTTGTGGTCGCACTTTTCTTGTTCGTTATGGTCGCACTTTTCTTGTTCGTTGTGGTCGCACTTTTCTTGTTCGTTGTGGTCACACTTTTCTTGTTCTTTGGGGTCTCCCTTTTCTTGTTCGTTGTGGTCGCACTTTACTTCTGAAGAGCTGGCATGGTCATATTTTCGGGTTTGGGTTGAAAGGAAAATGTACATGGCATTTTGAAACATCCTTTGTTCATTTGCCTTGTGAATGTTCTTCGCAGGATTCGGAATATCGGATTTGCATCGCGATACGACAAACAAACAGCAACAGGGTTTTTTGCTAAAATAACATCTCGTTGCGCAATGATGGAACGTTATGTAGAAAACACCTGTCCCAAATAGATATTTCCGCCAAGTGGCCCAATGTACTGACAACCTAGGTTCTTGAAAATGCCTTTGAAAAAAGCAAACATTTTATTAACACATTGGCTAAAAACTTTTTCGTCTGACACTCCTCAGAACATAAAACGTCAGAATAACGGTCCGAAAGAACACGATTTAAAATTGTGGATCGAAATAGGCCAATCAGGAGTTTTAAGTGTTTTAAAATGTTTGCTTTATCAAAGCCATTTTCAAGTTATGTACCGCCAAAAAACTGTTCAAACCTACGTTCTGCACCTTTAACAAACGTCACATCAAAATAAAAATAGGGAACCATCAAGGAACCATCAAGGCACTAAATAGACTTCAACATATCTAGATTATCACCTTGCCATGTCTTCATATTTCTTGATGTATTTGGTCCTTATTCTTTCATGTCCGGGCAAGTCCACGATGACTGCATGAGTAGCTTTCTGTCAAAAAAATGGAATAGCACACCACTAGCACCTTTGAGACACATTGAAGACACACAAAATACGCCGTTACAAAAGCTTGGTACAATAGATAACTGGATGCAGTCTGGGCGCCGCTACCAAAAGTCTGGATGCAGCTAAGTCAAATTTCAATATTACAATATAATAAATGTAGAAATTAGATTAAGGCACAAATTTACTCAAACAAATTAAAACCAAAAAAAGCATTCATCAATGAGTATTTTTGCTACAGAAACTCTTTGCCTATTACTTAAAAAGTAGAAAGCAATTTTTTTCCATGGCTTTTTAAGAATATAACTAAATTATACATATACTGTGATCCTGGTAGAAAAAGGATCAATGACAACCTGTGACAGCAACATGGCAATCCTGGCAATATTTAGAAATTCCTATGTGGCTTGTTTGACATACATACTTGGACTTCCAACATGGTGAAATAAATTATGACAATTTTGAAAAAATTAAGCAATCATTACCCGATGCAGCAAATAAGTAAATTCGGGCAAGTTTAATTTTCAACACATTTGGACAATTAAAATAGAAAACTAAACTAAATTTTTACTAGCAATAAGCAACCTTGAGATTGTAACAAAAACAAGTGGTGTAGTTACATATGATAGTTCGTCTGTTTGAAATTACATAAATCCCATAAATAAAGGCAGGTAGGCAGTAATTTGCTAATCGGGTCTACACTGTGGTCACTGGTTTGACCAGGGTTAACCCCGCATTCAAATTTATGCTGCGTATTTCAGTTCCTGGAGATAAAAAATTGCACATAAATACATACCATGCACTCAGATAAATAAAGGGGTTTAAAAAGAGTGAACGTATTACTGCTGTAAGGTATACCAGGACATTGGGCTTTTGCAACGGGTGCTACCAGAAAAGTAGTAACGCTACATATTTAAGTATAATGCGTTCATCAACTTTGAATCACTAACCTTTGACTGCTTTATCTCATATTTTCCCTGATTCTCGCGTATAGATGTATGAGTTAATACCATTCTCTTTTGCGTGAGCTGTTATTGTCAGAAAATAAATCAATCAATATTTTCATAACATAAAAAAATATCAATTTCAAGGTTTGGCCATAAAAGATTAATACTGAGACACTTGTGCAATCTATGCTAATGTATCAACCAACATGTTTCAGCAATAGACCCGCAACAGCATTTCAATTTTCTTCTACATTGATAGCGTTGAAACACTCGGAAATCTTTACGGTTTGTGATCTATGAGACTAATCAGGCCATCACAATACGTTTCTTTGCTTGACAACTTTTCTTTCTTCTCAGCTAGACGTTTCTCCACTTCTCCCCTTTTCTCTTCTATTTCGATGCTCGAATTCATTTGGCTAATGTACCCAGGGTAAAGAGACAGTAACGTCAAGTTGATAGATAGAAGTGGGAGAAATGATTAATCAAATTTGTTTTTAAAAAAGTGGAATGTTATCTTACCAAGCTATACAGGAGTGTCTTTCCCGAGTCACAGAGTCCAAGCAGAAGAATGCCTTGCCTCCGGCCTTTTCGTGAATTTATTGCAAACAACACAAGAATGACAACTACAAAAAAACCACACAAAAATTGAGAAAAAGCAGTGTTCAGGGACAACACTATAATTCATGCCAAGAGGGTGTCAAAAAGGTTTCAGGGAGACATATTTGGCTTCATCTGCATGGTACGGTATTAAATCCATATATTTTTTATGTGGCTCCACTGTTTTGAATTGGGAGTTTCTTAATTAATATGGGCATTAATCTATGGAAAATATTTCCTCCATAAAAGATGGATTCAAAACCGTCAAATGTTTTATAAAATTACATCGCAAGATCCAAAAAATTCCAAATAAGAAGGAAAAAATCCAAATATAATAAAATGAACGTTTTATTAAAAGAATTCGCTTAGATTCGTCCAAAAACAAAGCAATCCTACCTAGAGCGTTTACCTTTTTCCAAGCTTCTTTATAATAAACTTTAATATGTTCTTCTAATCTAAGTTGATGGCCCAGTGTTATTCCCAATAGTTTAACATCCTCACTTCCATGCCCCATTTATTCGAATTTTAGATTCCTCTTAATTAGATGAGTTGGCTTTAAAAGTTCTCTGATAATAATAATAATAATAATAATGGAAACATTTCATTTTCAATTCAACTTGCGAATGGAGATGCTTGTAAGTTTGGAGATGAGATAGCGGTTCTGTTGATGTTCAATGGACAAAGAGTCACACGTATGTCAATGAATGAGCTGCAGGAGTTGCCAAAAATGCCAAACTGATGAACTGATGGAAAAATTGACAAACGAGACTGACTTAAACTGACAGTTAAAGTCAGATACGAGGGTAGCATATTTCTCTGACTTTCTGACAGCATTGCAGTTGAGATTTGTTTCAGAGCCTATGGTTAGCTCTAAAACGTACAGACAGTTTTCCATAGTTTTGAGAAGTAAGTCGGGGCGTAGTTGATCTCCAGTTATGATAGAAGGGGAAAGAAAGCCTGGTAAATCTGTGAAGAGAGAAGACCCGTTTATTGCTTGGAAGGAAGTGGCTAGAAAGTTTATGCAGATTTATGACACCAAGTATAGCGGCCTTGGTCAAGGTACACTTTGCACCCAGCAACAGCATGTAGAAGTGCTTCTGGAAGAAGACAGAATTCACAGTCATTTTCATATAGACATTTTCATACCAGCTTGCAGGCCCTAGTCTTGTCTGCATTGACAATTTATGTAAGTTTCTGGTTTGGTCTTACAACTCCAGAGACTATATTTGAGTGCACGAGAGTGAAGTGATGAGAGCCTACTCAGCTGGGCATAAGTTGACTTCAACTGGTGTGTGCCACAGTGTGTAAATGTTGGCAGTATCATTGAATGATAAATTGTAAAAGCTGTGGCTTGATGAAGATACGATCATATTTTTGCTAAAAGCCGTAGCCTACCAGACGCTTTTTTGTAACAAGCATGGAAATTTGAATTCAGATTTAGGGAGCTATCTACGCAAACACCAAGATACTTGTATTCAGTTGTGTTATTGGTGGCAGTTTGGTGTGACAGTTTGATTTCAATTAGCTCAGTTAGCTTGGCAATCCTTTGCAAGGTGCTGAAAAGAAGGGATTCTGTTTTACCTTTCTTTAAATTCAAAACCAGTTTGTTGCTCTTTAGCCAGTCTGTTAAACATTCCATGTCCTTAGACAGTTTGGCATTGATAGACTGGATGCCATTGTCTGCGAAATACAAGACTGTGTTGTCAGCAGATTTCAAGATGCTTGAATGCTCGATTACGTTCACTTCACAGTGTCATTGAACAATATCAAGAACAATAAAGGAGCCAGAATTGACCCCTGTGATACTTCTGTCAGTAATGCATGCCCCTGATATAAAAAACTGTTACAGGCAACTTTTCCTTCCCGGAAGAAAATGTAATCCTTAAACCACTCTAGTTCCTTCCCTTGAACTCCATAAAGAGGTAGATTATCTAGCATCATTGTGTGACTTACTGTGTCAAAAGCTTTTATCACCATTGAGCATCAAAACATTTTCACAAAACCATTTATTAAGAATAGCTGCTTCAGATTCTATTTCGTCAGTTAGTTCAGTCATAACAGTACTTGACAGCCTAAATGTATTGTGATCTGCATAGTTGCATAAGTGTTACAAGGCATACACCTTTATAAAGCATTCAGATGACATTTTTACTGGAAGCTTTTTAGAAATATACCTCCACTAAGTGGACACAAACAACAGCATGTATTTTTCAAATAAAATTTATTCGATTATGAGATGTAAAAGACATTTTTTTAATCTTTGCCGGTTTCAATTAGGGTTCTCTAATGGTTTGGCGCATTCATTATTGTTCTCTTGAGGTAGGCTCCATTGAAGAAAACATGCAATTTTTATAAGGAAACAAGTATTTGAAAATAATAACACTGACAGCAAAACACCAGCGGTTTTTCTTTCTTCCTTGAGCAAATTAACATTTACAATAGGGTCATTCCATGTGAAATCATCAGACCAATGTAACCCATGGTCTTAGAATTTCTTGATTTTTTTGTCACATAAAGATAGTTTGGAGAAAATACCACATACAAAATTTCAGTCTTCTATCTCTCATGGTTTCCGTTTTATTGCTGTTTCAAAAGTGACCCATTTTTGCCAAATATGCCACACCCAGTTTATTAAGCGATGGGCGGGGCTTTCTATCAGTAGCTGTAATTTCTCTATAGTTGTGTATATTTGCTTAGAAATAATATCAACTATGGATTTGATACTGTAGATTTCAAATATTCCATCAAAACTTATCAATTCCCTAAGGCAAAGCAGATAATCAAGTGTTAGAGTGGATCACTTGATTTGAAAATGTTCCTAACCGGTGTATATAAATATTGAAAAAAAGTAATGTAGCTGGAATCATAGCATAAAAAGCTTGCTATATTCTGAAAGTGTATTCCTCGGACTATCAGAAAATGTTAGAGGTGACAATTGCAATTCAAGCATTGTGAGTTAATTGCACCTTACAAAATGGGTATAATATCGCAAAAATTTTAGACAAAAACAAAGGTTTTTTAATGGTTATGCCCCATAAAATACAAAGAGCTGCTAAAAACATTGAATCAAACATTGCTTCATTTTTCAACAACATCACTTACTTAGTTAAAAATGGTTCTTTAGCCAAGGAAAAGTTTAGATATTGTTTTGTAGTCACTGTAGCTGATGTTGTAAGTTCGACCTGTGACAGTTTTGGGTGAATCAATTTTGCAAAGCATGTGCAAACTTGATACCCAGCATATGTCTGGTCTGCTTGGCCATGTAAAGCTCTGAGTGGGTCCAGGTGGGTGCATGAAGTTTATTTGAAAGTCCCCTTCATCTTCATTTATTTCAAGAATCATGCCAACCCACCACTTATGGTCATATATGCAAGCAACATAGTCATTCCTTCGAGCTCCAACACCATTCTCTGGGGTATTAGAAGCAAAAGAAAAGGTTCCTGCAAAATCTCTATCATCAGAAGTATATTTTAAAGCAATTTTTTTATCTGAAAGTGGAACAAACTGATGGAAACTTCTGGTTCCAGGAATGGTGCTCCCATGGGCAAATCGTTTAATCTGCTGCTCTCTAACTTTCACCATAGAATCCTTCGATATGAAAAAAAACTCAATATCTTTTATATTTTCTTTGCAAAATTTGAGCATAGCAGAAACTGTCAAAATCTGATTGCTGTGAGTCCTTTGCAGACTTGCTCTTGCTGTTAGCCTTTTAACAGTCCCCCCAATGCCATCACATACTGACTTCCCATGGCTGGAAGCAAAAAAGTTCCAAGTAGCTCTAAGAGAAAAATCCTGAAAATGGAGGCAAAGATTCATCATATTCTTGAAATTTTTGTACTGAGCAGCACATCCATCTGAAAAGTACTCAATGCATTTTATGTGAGGGAGGTTGAATTTAACCCATTCCAACAGCTTGGTTTGGAGCTCATAAACAAAGCATGTATCATGATCTAAATCATCCGATATGAAGCAGAACGATAAATGAGCAAGTTGGTTATCCTTTTTGAAATACATGGCAATGGGATGTAATGTGCAGCTTTGCTTGTTCCAGTGGGCAGATTGGATTTCATCTTGGGTAAAAAACGCATAGTTTTCAGCAAAGTCAGCCAAAATAAGCAAATGATCATCTTCAAGTTCCTCCTTTCTCTTGTTAAGGTATTTTGACTGACATTTGGCAAGAAAAGAATGAGAGGTCAAAGCATCAATACGCTTAACTAGCAACTCAACAAAATCATCAATACTCATACACCTTTTTACTAATTCAGATCTACCAGTGTTCTCCCATTGCTGAAATATGACATCACCATCATTATAACCATCATGCAAACATTGATCAAGATACCTTTTTAGTATAGATGTCCCTGGACAGTTGTCACATCTGTGCACCATACATTGCTTATTGTCCTTGCTGCAAACAATCATGTCTATCATATCTTTGTATGTCTTATTAGTAGCAACTGCTTCTAACATAAGTAGTACATTTTGATGCGTCACACAAACACAAACAGAATGAGATCCACTTCCATCAACAGTCACACACCATTTAGGGCGCAGAGAACAAAACTTAGAAAATCCTATGACAACATCTGAATGCACTTCTTTGAAGGCTGCATAAAGCTCTTTCAGGTTGCATAATATTAATCGTTTCTGAACATGTACTTTTTTCCCAACACTTACATAATCTTTTTTCCCAGGCATCATTCTTGTATATTCATCATTTTGGAAAAAGTTTTGAACTAAATAAATATCTTTTTCTGATAAACTTTTCCCAATTTTCTTATCAGGCAGAGAAAGAATTCCTTTCCTTTCTTTCAATTCACGAGCCCTTCTTATCATGTATTCTGAAACATCAAAAAAGGAAGCTGCATATTTATGGGACCATGACTCTGGTATCAAAGTTAGAGTTTGTAGCTTGGTTGCATTTGTAGCCCCAAAAATTCTTTCTTTTAAGCTGTTCATCAGCTGGTCAAAATCAGAAGCTTTTTGTTTCACAATTGTATCTGGTGACATCTCATTGTTTTTTGTGGAAAGCAATCCTGACTGTTCCAGTCCTACAGCAGCAGCAATTGAGTCTTGCATCCGAGAAGAGACAGATTCAGATTTTTTGGCCACATATGAAATTTTTCTGTGCTTTGGCATGCTGTGGGTTTTAATTGGTGAATCTCCGATTGCTGCAAGGGTTTGATTCAAGTTTTCTCTAAACTCAGATTGCATAACATTATTTTCAACAGTAAATGCTTCATCTTCCTCTACATCCTGTTTTTCAAAACAATCATCACTTGGTGAATTTTGCAGTCTTTCAAAGCAAGACCGGCATAGCTGCCAACCAGGAAGGCATTCTATGCCTTTCTCGCCAAGCTTTTTTGCTAGATCCAATGAAACCTTGTGTCCACCTTTAACAGCTTTCTTATGCAAGTTACAAACATCACAGCATTTTGTAAACTTTCTTTCAAAAACTGCACCAAATTTTGCCTCATGATGGTAACAAATTGTTACACTAGCCTCAGGAGACATATAGTCAACCATTCTAGCTCTCCAAAGTAACACAGCATCAATTTCATCTGATGGCATGAGTATCCTTTTTCCAACAGAACGACAATAAGAGAGTTTGTGACATTCATCTTCAAGAAATCGACCAAAATCACACACCTCTAGCCCAGCCATATTCTCAAAGAAACTAAAATACCTGGAGACATTCAATATTGTTATATGCTCCATAAGTGAAAAATGCTGAGAAGGAAGTGAGCTTATGAAACCTCATGCCAGTACTTCCTGTTGACAGGAAGGACTGGCCAAGCATCCAACTAAGCAGAAATGAGTTAGGAAATGACACCCCTGAGAACTGTTTTTGCTTCCAGCATGGGAAGTCAGTATGTGATGGCATTGGGGGGACTGTTAAAAGGCTAACAGCAAGAGCAAGTCTGCAAAGGACTCACAGCAATCAGATTTTGACAGTTTCTGCTATGCTCAAATTTTGCAAAGAAAATATAAAAGATATTGAGTTTTTTTTCATATCGAAGGATTCTATGGTGAAAGTTAGAGAGCAGCAGATTAAACGATTTGCCCATGGGAGCACCATTCCTGGAACCAGAATTTTCCATCAGTTTGTTCCACTTTCAGATAAAAAAATTGCTTTAAAATATACTTCTGATGATAGAGATTTTGCAGGAACCTTTTCTTTTGCTTCTAATACCCCAGAGAATGGTGTTGGAGCTCGAAGGAATGACTATGTTGCTTGCATATATGACCATAAGTGGTGGGTTGGCATGATTCTTGAAATAAATGAAGATGAAGGGGACTTTCAAATAAACTTCATGCACCCACCTGGACCCACTCAGAGCTTTACATGGCCAAGCAGACCAGACATATGCTGGGTATCAAGTTTGCACATGCTTTGCAAAATTGATTCACCCAAAACTGTCACAGGTCGAACTTACAACATCAGCTACAGTGACTACAAAACAATATCTAAACTTTTCCTTGGCTAAAGAACCATTTTTAACTAAGTATGTGATGTTGTTGAAAAATGAAGCAATGTTTGATTCAATGTTTTTAGCAGCTCTTTGTATTTTATGGGGCATAACCATTAAAAAACCTTTGTTTTTGTCTAAAATTTTTGCGATATTATACCCATTTTGTAAGGTGCAATTAACTCACAATGCTTGAATTGCAATTGTCACCTCTAACATTTTCTGATAGTCCGAGGAATACACTTTCAGAATATAGCAAGCTTTTTATGCTATGATTCCAGCTACATTACTTTTTTTCAATATTTATATACACCGGTTAGGAACATTTTCAAATCAAGTGATCCACTCTAACACTTGATTATCTGCTTTGCCTTAGGGAATTGATAAGTTTTGATGGAATATTTGAAATCTACAGTATCAAATCCATAGTTGATATTATTTCTAAGCAAATATACACAACTATAGAGAAATTACAGCTACTGATAGAAAGCCCCGCCCATCGCTTAATAAACTGGGTGTGGCATATTTGGCAAAAATGGGTCACTTTTGAAACAGCAATAAAACGGAAACCATGAGAGATAGAAGACTGAAATTTTGTATGTGGTATTTTCTCCAAACTATCTTTATGTGACAAAAAAATCAAGAAATTCTAAGACCATGGGTTACAAATCTTAAAAATATCTGATGATTTCACGTGGAATGACCCAATATCCAAGTTATCATTTTTGAAAACTTTTTTCTAGTAGGTTTACAAGTTTTTGAGATAGTAAGAAAAAGCCTTTGAGAGATTAGGCAAAAGTTATCATTCTGCCAGACGGTCAATAGAAAGCACATTATACCTTCTATTAAAATTTTAAATTATTATATGTATATGAAAACATTAAAAAATACTATGTATTATGCAATTAAGAGTCTTATCATGAATTTCATGATATTCAAGTATTATCAACCTGCATAAAGGTAAAGGTGATAAGATGGAATGAGGAAACTTCTTAATCTTCCTGATCAAACCATGAAAATTTGTGAACATGCGCTTGAGTAATAATACAATCCTAAATTAAGATTGACGAAATGCAGTACAGCTTCAAGCAAAGCCTAGGGGCACTACCAACACTATCTTTATCCTGGGCCAATAATTTGAAAAATATCTTGGCAAACAAAACAAATCTTACTTCGCTTTTATGGATCTGGAATAATCTTCTAACCGAATACCAAGCAAAATGCTGTGGTGGGCAATGCGGTAGCTGATTGGCTTGTGAGAACTATACACAGGCAATGTATGATTCGCCAAGCTCTATTGTAAGAGTAAAGGGCAAGTATATATAGTAAATCAAAGGTCAGTATTGAGCCTCCTGGTTTTCATTTTGTTATGGAGGCACTCCCCCCCCCCTAAATTAAGAGTTGGCTGTCCCTGGGAATTGCTTTAAGCTGACAACTTGGTTATTAATGCAGACTGGTTGGATGAACTTAAAGTTGTGTTGTTAAACTGGAAGTAAGAACTTGAAGCTAAAGGACTGAGGGTGAATATAGGCAGGACTAAGGGTGAATATGGGCAGGACTAAGGGTGAATATGGGCAGGACTAAGGGTGAATATGGGCAGGACCAAGGTTTGCCATAGCTCCTATGGTTCAAATGTCAGAACAAAAACCAGAAAATGGCCATGAGGTGCATGCAACAAATGAGTTTGTGAAAACTTCACCTACTGTAGCAGTTGTGACCATTGGGTGAATAAATGCTGCTCTGGGGTCAAAGGAAAACTTAAGGAGAATGATATCTTTAAATTCAAGAGCTGTCTCCATAGATCTAAGCTTGTTCAGCCAATCGAGAAAGTAGCTGTTGGTGATAACGAGGTGGAAGTGGTGCAACCTTTTGTTATCTTAGTGACATGATAGGTGATAATGGTAGTTTTGCCTTCATGTCGTCAGAAAATCCATATTGGGAGTCATTGAATAATGAAAACTTCCACGTAGACTAAAATTCTTGCTCTTAATCCAAATCAGGGCTTAAAAATTTTGTATAAATGTATGTTGAATTGGTCTATATCTCGTACTGATAATGCTCTGGTCTGATGGTCTGAAAATGCTATGGTCTGATGGACTGACCTGCGATCCAACTCACACATCCCAGATCCGCTGGATGTCGTTAGACAGAGACACTTATGTTTATGGTCATGTATCAAGAAAAGATGATGTGACATATGATATGAAAATAACTCTGTTTTCGCGAGCCATATCCTCAGTGACGTATTTTTATTAGCTAAAAACCGAGCATTTCAAATAAAAAACTTACAGCTTGAGAGAAGTACAACAGCAACAGACAAAAGAAATGGGTTATTTACAGGATCACTGACAAAATTGTGAAATTCGGTAACCATCTTTTCCGCATGTCCTAGTATGCCCGCCATCTTATCAATGAATCACCTCTCACTCAATGTTTTGAGCTCAGTGCCTCGAATCGGCTGCTGTGTCTCAATTACATGCTACCACTGATAGTCCAGAAAGTCCAGAGTCCAGAGTCAAGAGGCGCAACGCACAAGGAAAGCATTACAAGCCGAGGAGGGACTTTTAGACAGGGAAATAGCTGCGAAAAACCAACAAATTGCCTAATCTCAATTTTTTCTTCGGATTTCTACATTTCAGTGGCTAAAGATTGATTTTCCGAGATGGGCCATCGCGAATTATTTTTAGATTGCATGTGATTCGTGACGTCATATATCAAATAATAATTCAACAAGAAAGCTAATATATCTTGTAATAAAAGTTTTATAACAAAAATAATGGCATATTCGGATAGCTCTAAAAAGGAGCTTTCATTTGATGCATAGCAAATTCTATTTCGCTGATATCAGCAAATTGACCGATGACGTCATCAAACCAAAATAGGCCTTTTACCACCACTGTTTCGCAGAATTCTCATTCTTGTACTGTTAGTTGTCCTTTCTTAAGATATTCTATCACTCTCTGATAGAGAAACACGTCCATTGAGTAGGTATACCAAAATTGCTTTACATAGCTCATTAATTAACGTTCTATGATGACGTCATATATATAAATTTCTAAAAATGATATAGATAAGATTTTTTTATTTTTGAAAATTACGCTATCTTGTGCTATATATATTGCATTTAGCACCAAGTTATAGAATAGTCTTGCTGCCAACGCAGGCAGAGGAAGGCGTTATCAAGGAAGCCCTTGCTTGCCGATGGATGCTTTGCTGATATGTGAGCTTCAAGAATTGCGACCCAACCACAGACACTTTCAATTCTATTCTAAACCTTAGAAGAAGTTTGAACAAGCTGTTTGAGGACATTTTCAGCTCTTGTGAAGGACAAAGTCAAAGATGACCATTACATATCTGCAAGATGTCTCCCCATTGTTATCATTAGTGTCAGCGGTTAGGGAAGGTGACCTGGAATGATATTTGCAGGGAGAGCGGGACATGCTCACTTTTTTGCTTTCGATCATAGAAATTATGCTCGGTATTTATCATTCCAGCATGTTTATTCCAGGATGCAGCTTGTCCAAAACTGGCACGCAGGGCCGCATTTACATCTGTTGGGGCCCTGGGCCCAGATTTGATTGGGGCCCTTTAAAATATTCCAAAAAATTGTGTCACGTCCATAGTACTTGGCTAAACATAATCAAAACCAACAAGGCTAATATTCACTAAATAGTTTGATAGATAAAAACTATAAGATGCGAATAAATTTGTATCCATTTTGCATTTCAGTACATTCCCAATAAAACTGCCCTTGCTGCTTGGTTCATTGGGGTTCAAAACTCCCATGATATCAAAATCTGTGCCATTAAACAACAACGCACTACTGTGACATTGTGGATCTTAGTTCACTCCTTTTCTTTACCCTGTTCAGCATGGTGAACAATTTTTCACCGGAGGAACATCCGTATGGCAATGTCAAACTGAGCACAGTCATTGCATTGGGGAAAGCTCCAGCCAGGGCTACCGAAGTTTTAAAAGCCCTGGGCTAAAAACAAAATATGAGACCCCCTGCGAGCGAAGCGAGCTGAACATTCTCGCGACCACGCCCTTTATTATATTCTTAAAATGGAATTCATTACTTTACAAGGCCCCCTAGCTCAATTCAAACACAAGATTGAAATCAAGAGCACTTCAAAGGCATTTCAACATTTTGCTCGGGGCCTCTGGGCCCGGGCCCATGAGTAAATGCGTCGCTGCTGGGACGCAGCTTGTGAACGTGCGTTTCTAATCGCCAGAGAAAGAAAAATATAAAGACTCTAGAAAAAATTACTTACATTTCAAAAATTCTTGATCAGGTGCAAGATAATAAATCTGTATCATATTCTGTATCAATTGCAAGATATTAAATTATTGAAGTTTCCTCGATACTGTTAGTTTAATTCTTCAAAATATTTTCTAAAAGTTTTCGCCTAAAAATAACAAGCTCCTTCTCTTCGCTCAGGCGACAAGCCTACCTTAATTGGCATTGCCCGCCAGGAGCGTCGGTAAAAATGAGGGCGCTTTCCCCCCATACTTCGTCCTTCACCCTGTAGTATAATCGTAATACTTTTGTAACGTATTAAGAGATTTGTACCATTTAAACTTTCAAAGTATGGCAAACGTCTTTAACAAAGTTTTAAACTGATTCTTCTCCCGTTATTATGATGTCCACATTCGTAACTTGCAAATCAGCAGACCAAATAAAGTGACATTTTGTCATAACTTCAATTTGATTATCCTAACACCAACATTTTGCTGCACACTGGGTATACAGTTTTCTAAAACAATCTTATTTTCCTGCTTTGCAATGGTCGAGGCCTTTTGTCCCGAACTCTAAACTGAAGACATCTGCAACTGGTTTATCGAAAACCATTTGACAACCTGGAATCGGTATACCTATCTTAAAATAGTACAAGGGGTATTGGTCAGTTGGGGACTGCATCCTATCTTTTTTTAGTGTATCAAACTACGTATTTCCGCTGCTGCCGATTGACGACGGCACGAGCTGCCAATGGTAGCTTACCCGTTAACCAAAAGCGAGTAGGGCCCATCTGCTGAGCTTTGCAAGAGACAAAGAAGCTGGCTATTGCTAACACCTCGTTCAAAAAGAATTTCGGGATGAGGGCCACCTGGTGTGGGCAGGTGGGACCAAAAAGGATAAACAACCAGATTGACTATATATAGGTGCCGACAAAGTACAAGAACATCATAATGAACAGCCAAAGTCGCAATAGCACAAATGTGGCGACAGATCACATACTGGTTATCTGCAGCCTGGGAAAGGAACCGATGAAGGGTAGGAAGAGAAAGTGGTATCCGCGGGGGATGAGGCCTGACCTGAAGGCCCTCGATGATCCTATTGTGGCCGAGTGGCTCAAGAAAAGCTTTATGGGGAAATTGCAGGGAAGGGATCTGACTAACATCTGGAAGGCAATGAAAAAAAGCATGCTATGCTTGCCTAAGAGAAAGCCTTTCCAAGCCCTGCTGTGCGGAAATGTCCCCCAACCTCGTTTTGTTTCTTTTGTTTATTTTTTGAAGTGTCGTTTGTTTTTATCTGGGCTTTTTGTTTTGTTGTGGAAGGTGGAAGTAGGTGTCAACACCTAGTAAGAAAAAGGAATGAACTCTCGTTCGAAATCGACTCTCGAAGAACCATCGCTCCTTTCGAAGAAACTCTAAGAACAATCGCTCTTTTCGAAGAAACTCTAAGAAATCGCTCTTGAAACCGAAGAAACTCTCGAGGAACTCTCAAGATAAAGGTTTCCCGTACAAGGACACAAAACCAGGTGAAATCTTTCCCTTTATTCATGGAATCTTGATATTCAAAGAAATTCGGAATAAAGATTCTCTTACATTCTTGGACGCTTACATTAATTATTCGTTGCTTATTTTGTTTGTTAGTTTAGTTAGATTATAAGATTCTCGTTGTTTTTGAATATATATACAGTCCTCTTCAGTTATTAGATAAATATATCTCTCGTATTTTCTTTGAGCCCTTGTGGGCGTATCTAACACGTAGAATTAAGTCTTGAAATTGAAGAACTGGCTTTGAAGAAAAAGGAGCCACACAGAAGGATGAAAGAACATGATGTCAATGAGGAGAAGAGGTCTGAAATGAGAACAAGCGGAAACGAAATGAACAGAAGATTCAGAGATCTGACCAGAGAAAGAGCGAACGGTGAATTGACCAAAAAAATAAAGTCCTTGAAGAAAAAGATATGTGTTTTAAAATGCAATCAAAATGCAAAAGAGGAAGGAAAAATCATGCGATGCTATAAAACTGAGCACAGGAGAGGAGACAGGCGATCAGAAGGTCATGGAAAAGCAGCTGCGAAGGCACTTCCAAGATTTTTTCTACAAAGTTGGAAGCGGTCATCATGAAGCTAATGAACCGGAAAGCAAGTGGCCCAGATTACATACCCGCCGAAAAACTCAAAACACTGCGCCACAAAATTGCCGGCTATATGGCGAAAATCTTAAACGAGCATTTCAAAAAGGGCACAAGTTTTGAGATCAGAGAGGGCCTCCTGGTGCTGATACGAAAGCCAGGGAAGACAAACACCGCAGGGAACTTCCGGTCCGTGCTCCAGCTGGACACAACCCGGAAGGTTTTCGCGAATATCGTGCTCGCCCGGATCAAGGACAAAATAGAAGGCTACCTATCACCGAGCCAAACAGCTTATAGGAAAAATCACTCATAAGCTCCATTTGCAGTAAATAAGAGTAAATAAGCTCCATTTGCCAACACCTCGATGAAAAATGAAATCATGCATGAAATTGTGGACGAGGACGAGGAAAGAATGATTGCGAAACATCTGACCAACACAAGACTGGCGGTGAAACCTGCCAAGGCAGAGAGCGCGCAGTGGTTCGACACAAATATCGGAACACTGCAAGGAGACACGCTATCATCTACTCTCTCTACCGTGTATGTATCTCGAAACCGCACTGAGGGAACTGCGAACCTCAATCCCCGGCTACAACGGAGTTCTTGAGATGGATTACGGCGGCGACACAAACTTCATATCAAAATTGCGGGCACCATCAATGCAATCAAAACCAACGCTCCCTCTGTACTTGGAGAGTACGGCCTGAAAGTGAATGAGACATAAAATGAACATCATGTGATAGATGAAAACAAGGAGACAGACATGAAGATAATTGGGCCATTCGTAAATAATGAATGAATGAAACTACGCATATTTGCAAAGTTCCATGCCTTAATCATGTTTTTATACTGATTCAGTCAGGGATGGCACTATGGGGTGTCATGGGGGGCATATGCCCCCCCCCCCAAAAGTTCCAAACGACACCCCGTCCGCAGCCCAATAAAAGAAAAGAAAAAGAACTGTCGGCACTTTGAAACTGTCGAATGAGAGTTTACTTCTTTTATAAGAACAATAAAATTGAAGTTCAAGGCCGACAGTTCCAAGGAATTTTCTGGAATGTATTTTAAGCTAAACTAAAGGACGCGGTCGCAAAATTTTTCTGCTCGTTTCGCTCGCACGAAAGTCTCTTCTGGTGTCTTGACGCAGGGCTTGTGATAACTATTAAATGCGTAGCCATTTTCACTTTCAACAAGATAATTCCTGATTTAAAGAAACTGTGAAGAGGAGTTCATGAAATATGTCGGCAACCATTTCTAAAGTCGTCGGCACTTGAATTTTTTAAAACTGTCGGGACATTGTTGTTTGGGTTCTAGCACCACCCTTGTACTGATTTATGGGAAAAACCCTTCAAATTCTTTGAATCAAGTACCCGTCTAAAAATAGCCAAATGGGGCATTTGCCAGTTATGTCCTGTATCCTATCTTTTTCAGCGTATCAAACTATGTACCTTCACCAAGTTTCATGCTTTTATCTTATTTCGCACCATTTTTTGCCAACATCCCTTACTATAGTTCCGATGACTTTCAAAGGGATGTGTCAAATCATAACGTCACAGCGTCGATCTGAACGCGCCGCGTCGATCGAACACTTTGAGGGTTCGTTTTTGAGGCTTTCGGGCATTAAGTTCATGGCAGAAAAAGAAACGGAAATCAGCATCCTAACAAGCGAAAAAAGTTCTACAAAATATGTCAAAATCGTTTTTCGCTTCATATGACCTTTAACATTCAACATAGAACTATCAACTAGAAAAAGCAATTCTGCACAGTTTGGGTTTTATTTTGTAAAATCTGATCCTGGTTTTTTTTTGTGAAGTCTGATCTTAAATTTTTCAGAAATGAGATGTCTTGAACAAAAGGTCGCTGTATTGGAAAACTTTCAACCTGCGCTGGTTAAAACGAGTTGTACTAGAATTTATAATTGCATCCAGATTTTATCTTTCTTAGTAGGACTCAAACTTTGTAGTTTTCTTGATAGCCAATTCTTTATTGCTCAAATCCTAAAAAATTTCCTTTCCATCAGTTTCTTTTCTTCAACAGCTGATTTCCTACTTTTTCTAATGTTGCTGAGAAATTTGTCGTTAACAAATAGATCTTGTGAACCAAAATTAGGCAATAGAAAAAACGAAACCCCGTCAATTTTTGCCTTCAACTAGTTATCCTAAGCCAAGCTGTTTTTCATTGTACACAACCTTACTCAACCTTCTACATAATTCTCATTTTGTGGAAACCACCTGCCAAAACTAAGATGCCTTTCTACAATAGCAAGACTCTTCCAAATACAGTTGAATCCCGCTATCTCGAACTCGGTTATCTCGAAAAATCTCTATCTCGAACAGTTTCCCATTTCTCCTCGTTTTCCTATAGGGCTTGGCTTAAAAATAAAACTCATTATCTCGAGCTTTCGCTATTTCGAACGAATTTGTTTACCCTTGAAAGAGAAAACCCGGTTACCTCGAACTAAAAAGGACCAAAATTTCCAGCTATTAATTATCATAGCCTTGATAATTTATTTTTTCAAATGGAAACGAACTTAGGTCGTCCGACAATGATTAACTTGCAAGAAACTTGCACTCCTTTGTCATCTCAAAAGTTTACATGGTTACCATTCTCCACAGCCACACAGGAATTAAATGCATCTGCGATTGTCTTTGCAAATTTGCCTGTCTTTTCTTTTGGTCAATGACCTACAATAGTTTCGTTTTTCTGTACACATACTGCGTATTTTTCGGCTATGTTGTTAAAATCCATCACGACTTTCAATTCCTGTCCGATCTTTGGCTGCCAAATAGAATGATAAACGTGGTACCCTTGGATAAAAAAAATTCACTTCGAATTCAGTTGTGTTTCTAATGGATATTTCTTCTGCTACTGCTACTTTGACACGACCAATAGAAACATAACCATTGTCGTTTGACATTTTGACAGGAGGAAGCACTCCAAAACATAAAGCAAATTTCATTAATAGACTATTTTAGTTCAGTTTGATGTTTAACAAAGCTTTCGAGATAAATGAGTGCTTTTCTTTGGTTCATATTCTACTTTTAAACACAGATGACCCCTTTTCTGATCGAAAAGTTCTCGAGTCCGGATATCTTGAAGTCCCGCTATGTCGAACAATTTTCATTTCCCGTGCGAGTTCGAGATAGTGGGACTCGACTGTAATATGAAAATTTTGGCGTTGCTCATTTACATCTGCAAATGTTGAAAAATTCAAGCTTGAAAACTTTGGAAAATATAAACGTGCAAAACTATATTTAAGTCAAGCAACCGATTAACTTAGATTTGGGGCTACTTTATGACTTAACCCTTCATATATCTACTGTAACACCATTACAGCTTGGGTCTCACATCTTGTCAACATAGATATTTTCTTAATAATATCAATAATTTACCAATATCGCGTACTTGTGACTTGCGCATATGACGACGTCATCGACACTTTGACACATGATAGTTTTTAACTCGTTGTTTTCAGAGTAAAGGTTTTAAGCATTTTTTGATCAGTTTCATATTTTTTCGATTGATGTTGTTTGTTTTCAGATTCGACGATATTCATTCTTTTTCTGACCGTTACTATTTACGCCATCGATCACGTGACATTCGGGGAGAAATTTTTTGGATACCCTTCAAAATTTTAAGGTGTTAACCCAAGGAAATGTTTACGAGTGAAAAATCTCCGGTTACCCTCTCCGCCAGTTTGTTAGGAAAAATTCCCTGTCTATCATATTGCATAAAATATTCGATGTCTACTTTATATTTTCAAGGATAGCATAAGAGAGATTACTTACTGCAAAAGCAACATGGGCACTTGTTTTTAAGGAAATAAGTTTTAACAATCTTTTGGTGGTACAAATTTTGAAAATGGCTTTGAAAAAAGCAAACATTTAGTAAACTAAAGCTTTTCGTCTGACACTCTTCAAAGTTTAAAACGTCAGAATATAGATCAAAAAATCTACGCTAGGAAATATATATTCCAGTTGTGGATCGAAATAGGCCAATCAGAAACACGAGCACATGACTGTTGAGGTTGACCAATCAGTACCGCTTGCCTTTTGAGAAATAAATTTTTATCAAATTTTTGAACTGCGAAGTATTTTGTGCTTACTTTATTCATTCTGGGAGTGAGTTCCAGAAGTTAGGCTTGTGAAAACTGAACGATTTGATACCTTTGCTCGTAGTTCTAGCTTTTGGAATGTAACGGAGGTTTTTGACTCGAAGGTTGTGACCTGCTACTTTAGGTGCAACATGGTTAAATAGGATTTTTTAAGACTATTCGTGTAGTGTTTTATAAACTTGAAGTGCCAAAATTCTACCTGACTAGCTATGTATGGTATCTTTTATTCGAGTTAGCAAGTAAATTAATAGTCTGAGTAGGCTTGTCGTAATGTCCTCTCGTTAATATTATCTAGTTTGTCCTGACTTCCCTTACCAAATAACATTCATATCATTGGACAATAATAGAATAAGGCAGCATGAATGAATTCATAATTGTTTTCTCTTATAAATCCTATAACGCCCATATATCCTGCTAATCTTGTGAGAGAATTTAACTGTTTAGCAGTTTTTCTATAGATCTGATTGACATGAGCATTAAATCTAAATTATCATCGATCTGGACACCAAGCAAAGTATCATTTTTCTCTATTCTAAATGGAAATCTTTGTCCATTTTTATTTCACCTATGCATTTATCTGTGGTGTCGATGGTAACAGTTTAAATTTAAAGGGATTTGCAATCATTTCATTTGACTTAAACCAACCATAGTTGATATCAACTATATCAACTATGCTTAAACCAAGCAAAGCAATTATTAGTGTTGTCCGCTTTAAGTTGCAATAGTTCATCAGTATTTGTTGCAATGACAGATATTGTGTAGTCATCAAAAACATGAAATAATGACCATTCACTGAGGCTTTTAAAAAGTATCGGTTAGAAAAATATTTAAGAAAAGTGGTCCAACTATTGATCCATTTGGTACTCCTTGTCAAAGTTACCCCAGGAGCTATAATGCACTTTAACTGTTTGCAATTCTTTTCGCCTCATAGGTATTTAGCTTTGCTAAATAAGGTTTTTTGGTAAACAATCAAAGGCTTTTGATTAATCCATAAGAACGGCACAAATATCTTTATTTCCTCCCAATCCGATTTTCCAGTCTCCAGTACTGAAAAGAGCGTGCTCGGAAACTGTTTTCTTTATCTGCGCGTCAGTATTATAAACCTTTACGTAAATAAACCTTTCTATTCACAGAACTTATTTCTGATACTGTTAAAGGCTCTTGTGCGACCAGCATGCTTTGCAACAAAATTTTCAAAACCGGCCTTATATCATACTGCATGAAATTAACAAATATAGTCCATTCTCCCAACGTAAAAAACAGCTACCGCAAAGCATGCCGGTTGAGCAAGAGCTTTTAATGTTTAGATCAGCAAAATTCAATTTTGGTTTCCACAAACCTTATTTTTTGGACCCAATTGTGTTAAAATCGACTGACTGAGTGAACATGATGGGAGAGTGGCACCATCGATAAAAGAAAACGATGAATGGATTTTGCAAAAAATGTCTTGCACTTATTGGTCAATTTACCTCTATTATGAGTTACATACTACTTTACATGACATAAACTTTTATAATTTACAAAAAACTAAACTTCTACAGCATGGTATAGGAAGGCATCCCTTGAAGTGCACATCAATTAAATCAATCAATTACTTAAAAATCACAAAAGACTCATTATCAGTTTGCTTATTAGTACCAAAAAGGAAATACCTTCAGCCCTGTCCAAACTATAATAACTAGCCTCTGTATGCCCTAAATTTGTGCGTACCCCAGTTAGATTTTCACACTGTGGATATACGGGTATAGCCTTTTTGCAGAGTAGACACAAATGTACATTGGTGGTGCTATTGCAGATTATCCAAGACTACTCTGCTTTATTTGTGTAGGCTGAAGAAGAGCCAAGTCCCCTCACTTCACTATAATTTAAGATTAATTTTCTTCAAGAAAGCTTGTGAACATGGCTAGACTTTGTGTGGTGAAAAAGTCTTTCAACTTTAGAAGGCAAGAAAATTCAAGCTAGGTTGGATGACAGAAATATAAAGAGGAATGTTGTTGAAGAGATGACAAAACTTTTGGAGAATTCAGAAGTCTTTCGCTAGAAGCACAGTTTAAATGTCTGCATGTGGAAACATGTCATACCAACAACCAAAGTTCGACACAGGTTTATGTTCACACTACAATATCGAAAAATTTAATTGTCGAAAAAACAGACTTTGTCTTGAGTTTAATGGAAGCTAGAATAGGAGAATTATAGGAGGGGTGAGAAATTTAGATTTTCTGACAAAATCTAACCAAGTCAAGTGTCATAAAATCATACTACTTGAAGATTTTCTTGCTGTCTCCTATCAAAAATGAATTTTACCCATCTGATTCAGAACAATGGAAGAAATTATTATATTTAGCTTTAATATGTTTCCCCTTAAGATGTAACACTTAGATAAAGTATAGACAACCATGTTATGTTTCCAACAAGATCAGAAATTTTCCGAAAAAATAACAGTTTAGCTTCACAGGGTTTTTTGTCTCCTTTGATAACCCACTATTTACACCACTGTTGACAAGGCTTTATATATTATCTGTGGCCCTAAAGGGTTATCTTTAATAAAAAACAATATACATCTGAAAGAATATTACACTGGAAACATTTGCAAATTTGACTTTAGACTGGAAATGGATTCTAGAAAATATACCATATACTCAAGACAATTTAAATAACATGATCTTGAGGCAAAATGGCTGTATTTGAATTTTGAGTTTCTTACATAGTTTACATAAGAAATTATTACTTGCAAATGCTTACCATTAATACAAATATTTTTCTATAAATATTACATATCAAAAAGAAGACTACATATATTCAAAAAATCATCTATCTACAAATTATCAAATTAAAACTATGAAATGATACAAGAGCCTACTTCAGGTTCAGTGTCTTTTGTCATTTGTTCATCCAAGGGTGTCTTTGGTAATCCATCCAATAACTTCAAATCTGGTAAAATTTTGAAAACCCTGAAATTGAAATGCATATCATTAGAATTAGGATGATTTAATTATATAAAAAATAGAATCAAAGGAGAATGCCTTCTCTGGCTTGTTGGTGAGGGATTGATGCCATACAGACAGATGAAGCTATGGTTGGCAAACCCCCAACCATATACTCTTCAACTATTGACAAATGAGTAACAATACATCCCTAGGTGAACAACAAATGGGTAACAAAAAATCCCCCTTGATGGTCAACAAATAAGTAACAATCCCTCTCTGCTTGATGGTTGACAAGTGGAAAACTGTCGTTTCTAAAAGACTGAACACTCCAAGAACAGGATGAACACCCCAAGAACACCCTAAGAACAAGCCATTAAGTGGCTAAACACCCTTTAAGACATATCGAAATTGGTATATCATTTGAAAAATAATTTGGTGAATCAATCAAAATTAATTTTGGGGTGGAACAGGACCTGATAAGTCTAATGCTGTTGGTGTTGTTAGAACTAACTAATGTCTTGCACCCGAAAAGTGTTAATGGGGGTTAATACAGTCAACTGAGGCCACAGACATCTTCATTTTATCAAGCGAACAATGGTACAGACGCAAAAGAGAAACTTTCCATTATCATAAAGGAAATAGCAGAAATAGCATCTGTGTGTACACTAGCTATATTAGTATACAATGAGCACAGAATAGTTCATTTCTATTCTCTGTTGTGACCACATGAGCAAATTAGTGGATGGGAAGAGCAATTGTTTGGAGGACAAGGTAGTCAAGTCATTCATTGGTACATCATTCATTGTCACTGGATGTGAAAGATTTTCAAAACAACGGGGAATTGCTTGAATGCACAAAAGAAGCATGGAAAGTCAAACTCAAATTGGCTCTGCATGTATAAACCCCTGTTCACACCTTTGGTGTGCTAAACATCAGTTCATTTTAAAAACATCAATGTTGGTGCTGAACAGCATTAGACTTATCAGGGCCTTTTCTGCCCCAAAATTAATTTTGATTGATTGACCAAATTACTTTTTGAATGATATGCTGATTTTGGTATGTTTTAAAGTGTATTCAAGTGCTTAATGGGGACTTTATGGCTCGTTCTTAGGGTGTTCCCCCAAGGGTGTTCAGCCTGTTCTTGAGATGTTCAATCTTTTAGAAACAACAAGTGAAAAACAATATACCAGTGAATGGTTGACAAGTGTATAACAAGACACTCCTGAATGGTTGACAAATGGTAATGATAGACCCTTTGATGGTTGACCAATGTGTAACAATACCTCCCCCCTTGATTGTTGACCAAAAAAACAATATACCCACAAATAGTTGATAAATGTGCAACAAGCCACTCTGACAGTCTAGGATGGTCTGCAAATGTGTTATGATACACCCCCAGCCCCCCCCCCTGCTCTGTGGTGTCTGAGCAACTGTTCTGTTCTCAATATATACAAAATAATTTTTTGATTATTTTTTTTTAAAAAATGTTAAACTTAACACAGAAACTTTACTGTTATACACAAAGTTATTACATTTTGAAAATATTGCAACAATGCCAGGTTGTAATTCAAAGAACAAACCTTTGCCTGTAGTACTTTTCCAAAGATAATGGGTTGCCTTCAAGAATTAACGACTTTAATCTTGATCTTTTAAATATTTCAAGTCCATTGAATGATGATATATTATTTTGTTGCAGTGATAAATGTTCAACATTTGGAATAATGGGCAATTTCTGCAATAACAAAAAAAATTTAAAAAATGAAGCAAGCTGACAGGAATAATTGGACAAAAGGATAAATCTTCACAGTCAAAACTCTATCTATTAAGCAGACACTGCCATTAAATTTTATCTGACAAGATTAAACACCTTTTTGAAAGAAGGAAGTGTATGGTTTAACACCAAAAAATAATTTCCAATTGATAGGTAAGCACACCTTTGCAAGTGTTTAATATTTTTGGTGTTAAACCACTTGTTACAACAAGTAACAATCTTGATAGGATATAGGATAGAGTAATGATGGTCTCAAACACTAGAGAACACCTGAAATATCCAAAAAAATTTATCTACAGTAATTCTTGTTTCTTCTCCAAGGAGAGCCTGAAAAAATCATGCATTATTAAAAAATACCCTACTAACCTTGAATGAAGATAAAAAATTTCGTTGGAGATACAGTCTTGTGCAGCTATGAGAGATTAATAAAAAAGTGTTAAGTTTTCCTTTTATCATGTAAAAGCATAAATTAAGTTTAATATCACAGAGCCACAGAGCACAAGTTTTTACTATATTTTCAAGAAATAAATTATCAGGGCATAGCTGCTTCCCAAGGCAAGACCATGCTGAAGAGAAATAAGAACTGACCTTGGAAATGAAATTGTGTGGAGGTCTGCCAAAGAGTTATCCATCAACTCAATTTCCTGACATCTCAGAAGTTTACGAAGGACTTTATAAAACTCTTTCAACTGATATCCATGGCCCAGTTCTTGGTATGATAAATTTACAAACTGTTTGAAAGAAAATAGAACAATGATAATACAACAAGTGCTGGTGGTAGAAAAATTGAAAATGACTTTAAGTATGCTGTAAAATGTTTGTGATTTCTCAAAGCTATTTTCAATTATGATAACTTGCCTGCTCGATTTCTAATAAAAAAATAACATTGATATTAATAGTCCACCCAATCTTTTTAAAAAAAAAGATGCTGAAAAAAGGAAATAAAGTACAAACCTGAATATCAAAATGCACTTTAAAAGCAGAAAACAATCTTCAAATAACATGTAAAGTAAATTTAGAAATTTAAAAGACATCACAAAAAACTTACTTTGCAATTTGGCCAGTCTTCTAACTTGTTTCTGTAATCTTGCTGTTTCTTGGACCTCAACTTTTTAAATTTCTTTTTAGAGACTTTTCCAGACTCTATATCAACATCACTGTTATCTGCATATTCTTCTTCTATAGCATATATTGTGTCTTTTTTATAAGATAGAGGTGCTAAAATGGGAAAAATATATATCCAAGTTAAAGCAAAAATGGAATCATAATTAAGCAAGGCAAAACTTCTTTAGGGTCTTTATCTGTAGGCAGTATTCTAGCAATATATACTACAAATTCACAAGTCAGAGGAGCCAGAATGAATCTTCCAAAATTTTTAATCGATGCAACAAGCATTCATTTCTCAAGATCAAACAATCCATTCTGTTTGCAAAAAACACTGAAAAATTTGCTGCTACTACAAAAAAAGAAGAGAAGAACAAAATGTAGATACAACAATAAATACAATCAAATAATAGTACCAAAATCTCGCCCCAGCATACAGGGCTTCATCAAAGTAAGAACAACAAGCTGCCTTGTGGTGCAAATGTAAAACATTTGGCTCCTTTAAAACACCTGGCCTCATTTTGACAGCCCTTTTAAAAATCTTAAAAGTCTTAAAAATCAATGCTATCAAGGGCCAGCATAGAGAGGACTGCTGAGGTATTTGCAATTTATACTACATACATTTAAAAAACTGTTAATAATACTGAGGTTATCCAGAAATTCACACCTCTTCTGACTCTTGGCGTTTTGAGAGCACTTGAGCTGACATTCACATCTTCAATCTCATGCCATTTTGTATATCGATACTTGGATGCTGGCAGTGGCAAAACTTCAGATAACTCAACATTATATTCATCATCATCACTTTCCTCTTGTGTTGTAATCAAAACAATTGGAATACCTTCATTTCTAACAGCAACAGTGTTACTGTCATAACCCCTATGAAGATGATAAGAGCAGCTTATTTCCTCTTCTGGTTCTTTTAAAAAGAAGCAATGTCATATGCTGAGTTTATTACTGAAAAATTTTCAATGTAAAATAATTGTCACTGTTTGCAGTTAGAATAATATGATGATAGCAGTGTTAGAATACTCAACTAAAAAAAATAATGTTGCAAGTTTAGTTGATCTACAACAGGCCTTGCCCAGAAAGGCCCTTGACCTGGTGCACCTCAAAACAGCCACAAAGAATGAATTATTATGCCCCTGAAAATACAAAACGATTATTGCCACAGCACAAAGAAAAATAATGTTATACAATTGTCTTCACTTAACTCACACCATCTACTCAAATGACTGCAATGTATGAATTATACATTGAGTAAGATTTGCTTAGCAAGACTTAATAGCAACCACTAATCTTTTGATGACACTTTGAATCAGGCTTGTTTCAAGGCCAGCCTATAAGAATATGTTTTCTAGTGAAAATAAGATTTTGGATCTTTACAGATCAAAAGCTATGAAAATTACATGCATCCTAAATTTTCTTCCTGCTAGCAATACAATACTTGACTTGAGTCTTGATTGAGTTCTTGACAGACTTGGCAAAGTTTTTGATTGATACTAAATTAGAAACTGATGTTTTTTCAAGATCACATTTGTCCTTTGAATATTGAGATGTCACCATTTATTTATGAAAATATCTTGCTGATATGTGTACCCATCATATGAAATGAAAGGCTAAAAAAGCTGGCTGATAAGTATAAACAGATAACCAGCTGCATCTTGTTTTATAGCTAACAGCTATTACCATTCCCAAACACCAGTTATTTGTGGAGAGTATTTGTGAAGTTTTCTGCCAGTCAGTAAACATATTACCATTTGGTTCACGAATCAGTTTTACTTTTTCGCATAGTCAATATTCGCCAAAAACAAAAATAGGTGCATATATTTTGCAGGTCTGGCCAATCGATTAGCAAGGGAACATTGGCATTTCAAACTCCCTTTATTCCGTTGGGCCTACCTATCTACTTCTTCTCAATACTAAAATCAATTTGATGCGATGAAAGGAATTTCCAGTCAGTACTCATGAACTTTTGCACATGAAACGATTCGATAACATATTTGGAAAGTATACGAAAGAACGTTCCTACACAGGCCAAACTTTACAAGCCTGGGGAAGGCCTTTGTGCTTCTTCGAGTGCAGGGCTTGATGCTTCTTCGCTATATAGTAATAAGCTCCAAGTTACATAGAATAAAACGTAAAATCAATCTTACCTATTCATCTGCGTAGCTATTGTCATCTAGACGTCTTTAATCTACCTTGCAAGTTCGGTTAGTTAAAGAGAGAAAAATGCATCACAACTTTCCTCCCGTTGTCTATCTTCCCCCGCCATCATGTCTTGTCGAGAATTGGAATATCATGACGGTATGATATAGTCGTTTCTTTGGAATACAAGGTTGTGGTTCGTTTGATTTGCTACTTCAAGCCTTTGTTTATAGTGACGATGGCTACGTGAAAGATTTCATTAGTTTGTTGTTATGGTGACGAATGTTGTGAAAACAGAACACCGTCGTTGCTAATGTCCAATTGGATAATATTTGTAAATAAAGAAAAGGCCACGAAAGCAAACTATTCGATGGACTCCAGTCAATTTCTCTTAGAGAAAAGTCGATACATTTTTGTAGAAAATAACCGGAGCACGCCGAGAAATAACAACAACAAACTCAATTATTACAATGATAATTATCGTAATCCTCGAATAAGCCCCCCCCCCTCGAATAAGCCCCCGCCTAAAAAATCATGTTTGCAAATAAGCCCCCTCCCCCCTTGAATAAGCTCCTATTGGTAAAAACGAATCTCCGTCAATTTTAGCCTGCGTGCAGACTAAAGTTTGCATGCAGGCTACATCAATTTGTGCTGACATCAACTTATTCAGGACAAGATTTCTCGATTGCTAAGCCAAGCTGTCACTCGTTGTAAAACTTAGACAATGACCGATTTCTTCGATCTAATTCCCATTTTCAATTTTATGCATGTCTTCTACGGTAAAGACATAGCAACCAAGGTAAAGCTAAGGACACATTTAAGAGAATTATAAGCAAATTTACTTACAGAATCATAAACTACATTTATTTTCACTTTTGCCTAAAATATTTCTTCAGTTTTGCAGAAAAGTGCGGGGGGCATGGCCCCCCGGCCCCCAGGCCCCCTGGTTTCGCCGGCCCTGCACTAGACCAAAATTTTTCATTGCTTCTCGTTCTCTTTCTGGCCGTTTTTGTGTTTTCGGCATTGAAAATAAAACGTTAATATTTTCCAATATATTAGATACGTTAATATATTAGATTACATTATTCAATATTTAGGGGGCTGGGCTCAAAAAGCATTGCGGTACCTCTCAGCTACCTAGACAACTTTATATTGTTAAAATTGTTAGTTAGTATATGGACTGTTAATTATTATATAATTATCTTATTTTTATAAATTTGTAACTAAGCTGCTGAATATAAAATGACCATGCCTTCATGGCATGACCCAAAACCTAAATGAGTTACTTGGGACAGGGTTCCAAAAACAACTTATGTTGGCAGAGATGTCTTTGAACTAGGTGTTTATGATGCAGTATGTCATTTAAATGATGGTGAAGCAGCAACTTTACAAGTTTTACAGCATCCTGGGTTAGAGTCAGGGCACTTTTCTGACAAATTTTGCAATTGGCTTGATAACAGCAGAGTTTATTCATCTTAATAAAGAGAACTTGACACTACTAAATTAAAACGAAAGGGATTGAGAAGGAAAAGAAAATCAAAAGATGATAAGATTAAAGAAAGGGAAGGAGAAACTTATGGAGCAGGACAGTTTTAGGCAGCAGTATCTTTATAAAAGTTTTCGTTGTTTTATTTCATATTGTAAACCTTGCGAAAGGGCTTTGAGATTAACATTTTCTTATACATATAGAGACATGCAATTATGCAGTATAGACATTGTTGTTAACATGGGGGTCATGGGAAATGGAATTAACATCTGCAAATTCCAATGATTTTGATCACCTTTCTTCAAATTGGAAATTCCTGGTAAATCAAGCTACCAATTACTATGAGGTCGCTTCATTGCAAGCTTCTTATGATAAGTAACAAACTTTAAAATTTCATAGCTGTAAAGCTTGTAGTTCTTTCATTAAAATTGTTGGCGTGAAAACCTGATGCATTTGCAATTGATGCAATTGATGCACAGTACTTTCCCGACAAGAATTTTCTAGGGGGGTGCCACACCCCCGCACACCCCTCCCCGCTAGCGACGGTCCTGTTGGTGACATACCCTTCAGGTGCCCAGAAAATGATGGAGATGCCCATTTCTGCAATTAAATTTTTAACATAAAAATGAAGAAGATAAGAAGAAAATAAAGGAAAATATTAGCTTTATTTTTCAAAAGGGGTTTTCGCCAAAAGAATCCACCCTATCGTTACCGTCGATATAAACTAGTCCTGCGATGAGAATTGAGACAAAGAGACAAATAAATAATGTTTCAAACGTCCATCTTCCGATCATGTGACCTTTCCGTGAAAGATTTTAAACTTCACAATGTTTCTCTACGGTTGTCCCGCAACGTCGATCGTTCTCTTAATAACAGGCACAGTCTTTCACAAGCACTTTCCATTCAAATTATACTATAATAATGCACACAATCAATAAATCGTCACGCGCGATTCCATAAATCCAAATGCGTATTCTATAAAGCCATACTTCATGTCGACAAGATCGTTTACAAGCATCTCGTCACAGTAATTAATCGCCGAGAACGTAAACATACAGAATACCGAACCTTAACCCTATCGCTCTTAACCATGAATCTAACTAACTTTCAAAAGAATCCTTGATGCAATGTTTTGAATATTTTTGAAGAACAGGGTCCAAAACTTCAGAAAGCCACTTAGCCAGTTCGTGTTGTGCTGAGCCAATCATAGACAAGATAGGTCTAAGTGGGACGTTCGGCTTGTGTATTTTAGGGAGGCCAAACATTTGTGTTCTTCAAAAATATTCAATAGCCATTGCCATTTTTAGATGTTTTGGTCCAAAAGTCTAACACTGGATTTCTTACCAGTGTATATCGCAAGCCTACTTTTACCGAACAGTACATACGCCGGAATTAATTTTGCCCAAAACAACGCAAAGTCAACCTTGTCAAAACATTAGTACATAGGGCACTTATGATCTGCTCAAAATCTAAACTGCACGCCGAACTGGAAAAACTCAAAACGATCTTCCTGGACAACGGCTATCCAGAAGACGTCATTTTATCTTATACTAAGGAGAAGATCGCAAGTTTTTCGGCTGTTCAAAAGTTTGGTCCGCAAAAGTGCCCAGTTTATTTGAAACTACCATGGATTGGTAACACTTCCTTGCAATTCGAAAGTCAGATTAGGCAAGCCATAACCAAATATTCCTTTGCTGTCAATCCTCGGATTGTTTACAGCACTAGGAGAGCCCTTCCATCCATTCAAAAGGATTGCGTTCCTACCAACCAAAAAAGTTCCGTCATTTATGAATTTAGACGCACAACCCAAAGATTGGGGGATAGGATAAAACAGCATGTTCCTTCCAACATAAGAAACAAAACTGCCCCTCAAAGAGAACAGCCTTCTCGATCTTGTAGGTCTAGAAACACTGTTAAAACAAGTCATTATGCCATCGGTCAACATCTTTTAGACAACCCAGATTGTGCAAAACTCTATAAAAACGACATGTGTCGGATAATTGGCAGAGCCCGGTCGTCCTTCCATCTAGCAGTTTTGGAGTCGATCTACATAAAAACGAAAAAGCCGCCATTGTGTAGACAGAAGGAGTTCGTTTTCTCTCTTGGACTCCATTGGCAATTTTTCTTTAGGCCCGCGGCACTGATTGGTCAACCATACCGGTCTTGTGCTTGCGTTTTTCTGATTGGCCTATTTCGATCCACAACTGGGTATATATTTTCCATCGTGTTCTTTCGGAACCTTATTCTGACGGTTTATGCTCTGAGGAGTGTCAGACGAAAAAGCTTTTAGTATGACGTAAAATGTTTGCTTTTTTCAAGCCAATAACAAAAGGAATTATAAATGGCTTTGAAAAAAGCAAACATTTAGTAAACTAAAGCTTTTTTTCACACTCTTCAGAGTTTAAAACGTCAGAACATAGATCAAAAACTCTACGCTAAGAAATATATATACCCAGTTGTGGATCGAAATAGACCAATCAGAAACACGAGCACATGACTGTAAAGCAGTGGCGTAGCGTCTATGTATGCTACGCTTGCGGCGCAAGCGTAAAAATTTATAGACAAATTCTAAAATTCTTGCAACACTTTCAATGCATAACAATTTCTGCAATAAACGGCTTCTCTTTCTTGTCATGAGCAGCATGCGGTGAACTCTAGCGCCAACAGGCCAATTGGCCCCAATTGGCTATTTTTCCAAGTAAACAGAATTCGAAAAATTATGAAATTCGAAAAATCTGAAAAACTGAAGCCCCTCCACATCACTCTTTTTGCCTGTCTAAAATAAGAGAAACATGTGATGCTCCAGTACAGCTTCAGTGCAACTCGAGAAAAGCTTCTGAGAGAAGTGAGAATTTTCCGGACTGGAGCTTGCGGTCGGCCTGAGCGCAAGCCTTCCCAAATATTTGATAATCCACAACATTTTTCTACCTATAATCTGCTTTTTGCGAATATTCTTTGCGAGATACATCATTTCAAATCCAATTATTTCCCTTTCTTTACTTTGTGACTGTTGAAAAGAGAAAAGGTTTCGTCAAAGTGGGGTCAGAGTCTATTTGTCATGATCCGCATTCCGTAATTCAAGTCAAAAGGCTTGCCAGTATAGTCAGAATTTACGGACCAGGGCATGCGGTACACCTGAGCGCAAGCCTTGCTAAATACATGATGATTTGCCGGGACTAACTTTCTGAAACTTTACACATGGAAGCATTTTCAATTCTTACAACTCTCACAGCTCACTATTTTCATCTTCGTTTACTATGAGAGTAAACAATGAGCAGAAACTGTTGCTCCTGTTCGCTTAGGCTCTGCAGTGTGTTAACAATTTCGCAATGTGGAGAGCTCCTCCCTGCGGGAATCCCCAGCTTCATCAAAATATTCTTACATTAGGTGGGCATTAGGTGATGCCTTTTCTTGAGGAATATGAATAAGAATAAAATCTTTTGCGAAGCAGTTTTAGCACTAGGAGTAATTCTGAAAATTCTTGCTAAAACAATTGAGCTTTTTTCAAAAACTTTCGCATGGCTGATAATTTTTCCCTTGGCCCCCCTTCACTTTCCAACCTCTATCGGAGCCTCTGATGCAAAGAATAGACACCTTGATTGATTAGAATTAGAGTACAAATGATTTGTTACTTTAAAATCAAAATTTATTATCACGATTATCATTAATTACCGTTTGTATTTTTAAGAAGCTGAAAATACGATTACATTCATTCAACATAGCCGTATATTTTATGTTACCGCATGCCTAAGTTCTGCGCTCACGCTACGCCACTGCTGTAAAGGTTGACGAATCAGTGCCGCTTGCCTATTAGAATGTTACCAATGGAGTCCTAAGGTGATAACGAACTCCTTTTGTCTACACAGTAGCGGTTTTTTTCGTGCTTATGTAGATAGATTCTAAAAGTGGAACGACGATCGGGCTTTACCAATAATCCGAAACATGTCGCCATTATAATTTTTGCACAATCTGGGTTTTCTAGCAAATGCTGCCTGACAGCAGAATCGCTTCCTTGATCTAAAGAAGGCATTTGACACTGTGGATCACAAAATTCTGCTCTCTAAGTTATCAAAGTATGGAATAGGAGGAGTCCCTCATCAGTGGTTTACATCATACCTAACTGATAGGATACAATACTGCCAAATCAATGGTTCCAGTTCACAACAAAAGAAGGTTCAGTGCGGTATTCCCCAGGGGTCGTGCCTAGGGCCCCTCCTTTTCATCCTATACGTAAATGATTTTGAGCGATGCTTAGAGAAAAGCTCAGCAAATATGTATGCAGACGACACTAGCATAACATGCTCTGCAAAAGACATTGAGGAACTTTGCAATGACTTAAAAACTGAGGGTAAGAACATTGCAGAGTGGATGCGGCAAAATAAGCTCAGTCTGAACACCAATAAAACTGAATATATGGTCTTTGGTCATAAAAGACGAATTAACCATATCCAGGGGGAGATAAACGTGGAAATTAATGGAGAAACAATCCAACGAGCCCATGAAGTAAAATATCTCGGGGTCACTATCGATGAAAACCTATCTTGGAACAAGCAGTACAAGAGGTTAAGTGTAAACTTAAAAGTGGTCTTTCTTCGTTGAGGAAACTTAAAAACATACTCCCACAGTCGAAATTGGACCAGGTTTACAGGGCACTTTTCGAGAGCCATCTAAGATACGGTGATGAATTATGGGGAAGTCTGTCCGCTACAAAACTTGAACATCTTCAGCGTCTTCAAGACAGGGCTCAAACATTAATTGAAAGTGCTAAATTTGAGGACGGGTGGGTCTGTTAATGGCTCTCAGTTTCGAATCTAATTAAATATGACAGGGCCATAATGACGTACAAAATGATGAACGGTCTTTGCCCTGACAGCCTTAAGGTAAATTTATCACTAGATCAAAGATATCCAGGTATTCGAAAAGGAATCAGCTTGATATTGACATCCCAAGGCAAAATTCGGAATTCTCAAAGGGAAGTTCCTTTCACTCTGGGGCCAAAACATAGAATGAGATTCCAAGAAACATCAGAATGAGCCCCACAATTTCCATGTTTAAAAGAAACTTGAAAGGATTCCTGCAAAGTTAATAAATTCCCTAAACAAAACACGATCCCAAGGTAGAACAGCAACACCTTTATTTTATATATATTAAAGAAGTAATTGTTATAGAGGTAGTTTATTTTATTTGTGTTATAGCTGATAGGGAATTCGTGTGTAAAGATTTTTGAAATGAAAAATGTCGCTGGCCACTGCTCACTAATAACCTTTGTTACCAGGCCCGTAGACAGCTAAACTGGATTGGGGGGCATGGATAAAAATATAACTTTTTCTATACCTGCCTTACGAAATACTGTCAGATCAAGCTGCGCTTATACGATCTTCAAACATAATTTTCGCAAATTATTCCCCCTCCAGAGGTCATTGCCCCTTGCCCTCCAGAGTCTACGGGCCTGTTGATACTCACTAGAAGCACCATCTCTATGGGTGGCTGCCACTCCTCTTGTCGCGGGCCAGCAACAACAGCAACTTGAGCGCAGAAAAATGATGTAGGAAGCCAAAAGAACTTCCTGGTTTCCTTTTCAGCGAATCGGCTTCAACATGAAGTCGTGGAGGCAGGATAGATTGATTCCTTTTGAAGACAAGGAGCTAACGCATTATACTGAGAAAGAGGAAAAGGCATTTTCGGTTTTGGAGTGGAGCGAGACACCCCTGGGTCTCTCCAAATTGGTTAAGCAGTACATTTTGCCACAGATTGTTAGGATCGAAGATGGATATTATTCACAGGAAGAAGACAGCAGTTTAAGTTCAGGACAGATTCTGAAGATTCATTGTGTCAAGACTGTTAGGAAACTGGCTGGTCTCGATCAGTATGGCAAGGAGGTTCATGTGCCTTTGAACACTACAACTAAAGTGATTCTCCGTCCAGAAAATTTTAGAGTCGTGTATGAAACAGTCAACGATCTGGCACACGCAAAACCTGTCCCTAAATTTGTTGAGGTCACTAGAGGCTACTTCAACCCTAAAGGCAAGTATTTATAGTAGTGATGGTCGTGATGAATGTAATGACAGTCTCCAGTGTCGTGTCCCAGATTATTTCTACTTCTACTTCTACATTATAGTTATGTGACCTCTCTGGGGCAGATGATGCCACAACCTTTATGTACATTTTCCAAAAGCATTTTGTTTGCCTTTTTGTAGCAGGAAGAACAAATATTTTGATCATATAGATCCCTGGAGCTATTTATAGCAAAACAGATTCATACAAAAATTATGAATAGCTCAGAAGTTAAAACTTTGTCATTTCACTAATTGAAATAAAGGAGAACAAATTTTACACGGAACTGCTTGTGTGTGATACCAAGTACAGTCTAATTCATTTCATTTTAAAATTTCACTCCATACATGTGCCATTAAATATATTTCAAAATACCCAGGCTGGAAAACTTGCATATGCTTGTAGCTACACTGGACTTCTTGTACTTGCACCTCTGACCTCTTGTGACCCAAATGTTGATGAAGTCATGTATATTATACTATAGTTATGTATATAATGGGCATCGTTGCTCGCAGCTCAAATGCTTTCATGCAGATCCCAGCTGACGTGCTGTTGGTCACAGTGACGCATTAGCAAAATCATAGTTTTCCAACCTGGATAAATACTACATCAAAACAAAAAATACTAAAATAAGGAAATTTATAGATTTTGATTAAATGATAATGATTCAACTTCTTAATCAATGTTCTAACTCGGAACATAAGATTCAATGCAAGTTATAAGGCAAAAATTAGGACTGGCTGTTGAGGCAAGGGATACTGAACCTGAGAAGAGCTGTGGATTGTTGTCCTAAACTAAAGGTGAAGGTACAATTGCTCCCCTTCATTTTCCATTCATTTTCACAGAAAGGGGCATATTCATGGTATTAAAGTCGAAAAAAATTGATAGGAAATTGGTGGGAAAGTCGAAATGGTTACTTTTGTACCTTAATGAGTATATTCATTTATATCCTTTGTGCAAAGAGAATGTAGTGGAAAAGTAAATCATTTGGCATCATTTCAGTGCCATTATTTAAGGCATTTGTCGACACCGACATGTATCAAAGAATGACAACGAACTTTGAAAATACATAAGAAAAGAATATAATAGTCAAAAGCTTGCTTGAAACATTGCAGTCTTGTAAGGTGCTTTTTTCAAAATTAACAAAAATTGATGTTCTAGAATTTACATGGCCTCCATTTCTTGTATCGATCCCATACAAAATGATAACACCATTGCAGTGCTAGATGAGTTGGAGAAAAATGCTGAGAAAAATGAAGAAACCCTAGACAGTCAAGTTGTAAGATTCAAGGTATAAGAGAATATTGAAATTGCTACGGCTGTACTTGAAAAGAGGGCATGGAAGAACAAAGCCAGTGAACATAGAATGTATTAAGGAAATAATTGCAGGGATTGAGTTCTCAACAAAGTCACAAGGTTGGCTGGTGTGATGGAATGATTTGTTTATTTGTTGGGTTGTTTTACTTGACACAGACCTTCCAAGTCTCACACATTTTGCGTGAGACACACACATTTCGCCCCTCATGCTCACACGCATCAATGGAGAACTCTCACGCATTCTATTAAAATTTTTTGGTGTCTTCAAATTTTTCATTTTGTTTTTCAAACTCTAGCCATAACAAAAATCATTTACAAAAAAGTGACACTGGATAAACATATTAGAAATAATGAAGCAATTCTAATTTAAAGTCATTCTAATCTACTAATTTGGCTGTACATTTTGGCTTTAGTACTGTACTATTAGGGTCACTCTGTTAGGTTCTTGAACATATAAACTTATAACTATTTTGTGTTTGAAAATTGAAAATTTTCTTTCATGTGTGCCTTGAAATTCCATAACTGTTCAACGATCCCCGTGCCAGTTGCAGCACCAGCCACTAGGGTCAGGAGGGGGGGATTAGCAACAAATATTAGGCTACCCCCATTTTACTGCCTCAACACCGATATTGCCCCCTGCTTTTCTGAAAACTCACTCATTTTCAAAACTTAAACTTGACAGGTCTGTTGACAACAGAAGTAAATTGTTTGCTTCACAGAGTAACTAAAATTTTTGCCAATATCTCTCACTGGGGTTAGCTAGATAATTCAAAAGAGCAAAACAATCTTGAGTCAAAAGCCAAAAATAATTAACTTTCTATTTCCAGTCAGAGAAATATACTTTTGTTGGTGGTAATTTTATTTAACGCACTTCTTTTTGACAGGATTAAATGGTGACAACATTGAAGATCTTACTGTTGATCCTGGAGAAGTACTTGAAGTGGTAAGACCAGCAGATCACCAGTTATTCTCAAGACCAAGCCAGGAGAAATATATGGTGTTCAAAAATTCAAAAGGTGAGGAATTCAAATTGCCCTATGGGTGCAGCCCAGGCTTCAGGTCATTGCTGGAAAAGGAACAGCATCTTTTAGGGGAAATTGTGAATAACCATAAGCTACCAATATTTGCTAGCTTTGCGGAAGAATCAATATGCAAGGTTGAATCATTTGACACTCAAAATAAACTTGCAAAATTTGGTGTTATCCAATTCAATTCTTTCTATGATGAAGAACTAATTGTGGCATCATGCGGACATGAAAGTGTCAGAGTTATCTTCACGATCCCGAAAGACATTGATGTAACAGTGAAAGTTGCAAAAGGTGCATTGACAAATGATCCCGAGTATACTGGACTCTGTCAAGGTTATAACAACTACAAACGCATTGAGGAACTGACCATCAAGAGATATGAACGGGATATTTACCGAAGGTCTGGTGAAGTTAGAGGGTACGAGTACTGCTTGCGTTCTGCTGGAGAGGGACAATTCATTGACATGGAAGGGGAAAGTGATGAATATGATAGCGATGACACACACTGTGAAACTATTTATGTCTATAACGATACAGCAAAGTCATCAGGGAAGTCAGTTGGAACAGATAAAAAAAAGACTCTGACGCTTCCGTATGAAGTGACAGATATTAATGTCACTGATTTCAGAAAAGGAGGAAAGTACTTTGAACACCTTTCTGAAAGCAAAGATGACAATGTGAATGGGTATTATGATCTTCAGGGTCGCACAAGCGATATGTGTCATGATGGCCAGCCGGTCAAACTTGTCAGATTTACATCTTTAGACCAGACTGGGGACGATCTTCCAAAACCACTCGTTGATATTGGGAATAAAATTGGCAAATTGGAAGTCTCTGGTGATCCAAATAAAGCATTGTATGATGAAAGTGGTTATTTAAAGTCGGTAAGCAAAAATGACGCAGACAAGAGTACAATGACACAGAAGAAAAAAGCAGATCCAAATAACAGTGTCATTCAATCACTTACAAGACCACCATCTTCAGGAAGTGCAACATCAACAGAAGAAAAACATGTCCGTATAAAGCCAACATTGCCTAAACCATTTGTGAAAAAGGACGTCCCCCCAAAACCGCCACCAAAATCACCAGCTGCTTCAGTTGTCATCAATCCAGATAAGACAGCTCCAGAAAATACCAAAATACTGTCAGCTGTAGTCATTGAAGAAAATACAAATAAAAGGCAAACAAGTGCTACATCATTTCAGATCCCGTATGATTTATCAAAAATGAGCTCGGCTGAAGTTTGCTCTTGTTTGCTCGTTTTGAACCTTGGACATCTCAAGGAGGTTTTTGTCAAGAACCAAATAAATGGTGATCTGTTGGTATCATTAGAAGATGATGACTACAAAGACTTACAACTCACGAACTTCGAAAGAAAGAAAATGATGCGGTTTGTGCAAGGATGGCGACCTGACAATGCAGATAGCAGAAGCTGAGTTTATAAATGTTAGTAGAATCTCCTGCAAATGGCGTCTGGCTGAACATATTTGAGTACGTACTCTATGTAAATCAGCATGTAATTCAGCATGTAACTCAGCTCAAGAAGAAGGCGATATTAACGAGTTTTCAGTATAATCGTTTAATTGTAGATTTGTATCATTTATGTTATGAAATTTATATATTATTAATGCTAAGTACCCATTTGCTAAAGATTTGAAATGCAGGGATTGACTTTTGTGCATTGGACTTTCCTGTTAATTGAATTTTATTTTGGTATTCCATTTATTCTCAAGAACACATAGCAAATAGTGCAACTGTATATCAATAGAAAACCCAAAAAATAAGTCTTGCATTGCTATTTGCGTTCGTCTAGGGTGGGGGTAATTCCACTTTTTTCATTTATTCGTTTACTAATTTCATGGTTGTACTAAAATTAAAATGTAACAAAAGCTCTGTAAGCAACTGAATGTTATTTGATCCTTTTTCACTGCTGATATTTTTTAACAGAATAGAAAATACAAAAAATATGCAGCATTCCTGTTATTTCTAGTCGTAATTGAATATTTCAAGTGAAAAAACATCGTTCCTATTAATGTGATTACTTTAAAATAGAAATTCATTACGCTCGAAAATGACAATACCAGATAGCCATAAACTAAACACTAAGACTTCAAGGAACATCAAGGAACAAAAATTGAACTCTGAATTACATTGTGAGTTCTGTTTCAATCCAATCCGCCAATATTTAGGCAAGAATGCATTATATGGAGGTTTTGTAGTTTAATTATGAATCACTGTTCACTTCCAAGGTAGGTAGGTTCAATGCAGTTTTAAGGAAATTATTATTTCTGACCAGATCGCAGTCGCCAAAAGTTCAGAATGTCTGTATTATTTCTCTCACACAAGCATTGTCATGGTGATACGAGTAATTTAGTTACTCTATTTAAGCACCTACCTTTAAGCACCTACCTTTAAGCACCTACCTTTAAGCACCTACCTTTAAGCACCTACCTTTAAGCACCTACCTTTAAGCACCTATTTAAGCACCTAGCATTTTAGTTCTGAGGAGTACAGTAGAAACTCGCATAAAATAATCTGTTTTTATAATAAAATTGAGGCTGAAATTTAACCTTGAAAACCCCATAATCAAGAACCCCCAAGAGGCTGAAATTTGGAAAGGTTCTTCTACTAATACTAATATGCGGATATGCAAATGAGCCCCGAACAAAAGATCCACACCGCACGGCGGTTCAACCCCTTTTTCTCCCCGAAGGGCAGAGCGGATCTTCCCCGGCAAGGTCTCAAATCGAAGCTAGATAATTGATTTGCTATCAAAAAGGTATAATGTTTTTTTTCCTGCCTTGTTTCTCGAGATATTTGGCGTTTTCTGAAGCATCGTCTCGATCACCGTTAGTGCTCTCCGTGGTCTTTGTCCCGTGTTTCTAAAGGTTCTTTCTCTCTCTTTTCTCTTGCTCTCTGCAAAAGATTGCCACACCGCCCGGCGGTTCAACCCCTTTTTCTCCCCGAAGGGCAGAGCGGATCTTCCCCGGCAAGGTCTCAAATCGAAGCTAGATAATTGGTTTGCTATCAAAAAGGTATAATGTTTTTTTTTCCTGCCTTGTTTCTCGAGATATTTGGCGTTTTCTGAAGCATCGTCTCGATCACCGTTAGTGCTCTCCGTGGTCTTTGTCCCGTGTTTCTAAAGGTTCTTTCTCTCTCTTTTCTCTTGCTCTCTGCAAAAGATTGCCACACCGCCCGGCGGTTCAACCCCTTTTTCTCCCCGAAGGGCAGAGCGGATCTTCCCCGGCAAGGTCTCAAATCGAAGCTAGATAATTGATTTGCTATCAAAAAGGTATAACGTTTTTTTTCCTGCCTTGTTTCTCGAGATATTTGGCGTTTTCTGAAGCATCGTCTCGATCACCGTTAGTGCTCTCCGTGGTCTTTGTCCCGTGTTTCTAAAGGTTCTTTCTCTCTCTTTTCTCTTGCTCTCTGCAAAAGATTGCCACACCGCCCGGCGGTGTAACCCTTTTTTCTCCCCGAAGGGCAGAGCGGATCTTCCCCGGCAAGGTCTCAAATCGAAGCTAGATAATTGATTTGCTATCAAAAAGGTAT